CACTGGGCACGATTCTGTTCATTTCCCTGACAGATCTGAGAACATCCTCCATTGTTTAAAGAGCAAGGAGTTAAGTCTGAAATTAAAAGAAACATATGAGAAATTTAAGATCCAACTAGTGATGATCAAAGTCACTACACAGAGACAGTATGTTTTTAACTGCTTGTGAAACAGAAAGTGACAGACCAAGTTGTCGCTTTCAGATAATATAATTTAATTTACATGGTATGGTTTAGGTTTAGAGAACAGGACATGATTTGCTCACTGCTGAGAGTGAAATCCCACATCCACAGTGGCTTACAGATTCTCTGGCTTAATGAATTTACCTTGTGTAGACAGGAAACACTTTTGACAATTAAATGATGTTTAAAATTACTTTTTGCTTAACAAAAACAGCCCACTAAAGCACAGTGGTAAACTGAATTTGAGATATTTTTACGTGCATTTTTTAAATAAGATAATATGTTTAGCAGAACACCTGAGTTCAAAGCAGTAATATCCATCTGTATAAACATATATTCCCAGATGTGTCTGATGACGTTTAAAGCCATTCTGAGGCCCTCGGTGTTGAACATTTCTGCCTGTCATCTGCTTAGAGAACTGATGAGCAGGATATTACAAAGATGTCAGATATCTACAGACATGTAAGATTGGAGGGTGGTGACAGGAAAGAGTTAATATGCTAAAAAGCGCCAATTCAATAAAAACAAGTAATAGGCTCATGAACAATGAATCTTCCCAGCAACTTTAATGTCTTCTGTGAGCACTTGTTTCAACCCCGTTAATGAACCCTTTCTTAAAAAAAACAAAGAATTTCTCTTCTGTCTCCTTAGGATGAACAGTTTATAACATTCCTGATTTGTATTCCTGATTTCTTTGGTTACAAGTATCTGATAAAACCCATTTCCACCACACAAGAAAAAAAACCCATAAAAAAATGCTTTTGTAAATCATCATTATGACAAAAAAATAAAAAGTATAAGATACTTAAAGTCATAATTATGAGATAAAATGTCATTATGATAAGTCAAAACTATGACATAAAAAGTCTTTAGATAAAGTTATTAGATAAAGACAATTATTTAGAATGTCATAAATACAACTTTTAGCAGTTATGCCTTTGTATGCAAATTTCAACTTTGTCATAATTATATTTTTTATCTCATAGTTTCAACCTTTTGTCATTATAATGATGTATCAAGGCATGTTTTTTCTTATGTGGTGGAAATGGGCTTCCATAGATAAATTAATACATTTAAATGTAAAATGTGAAAATGATCTTGTGTGCACTGCAGTTTCAAACAAGAATCTTGTGATTGCACAGTTCACATTACAAATTAATTCTAGATTATATCCTGCAAAAAATGAACACTACATATTTAGATCTAATATGTGTCATATCTCACCTAAGCAGAGAGGTGTTTGGCCACTCCATTGTGTTGACAATAGCTGTAGACGTCACCATTGGTCAGTGTGTATCCAGGGTAACACGCATACTGAATATAATGCTTATACTGAAGTGGGTCAGGATTCTTTATTGACCGAAAGTAGAATGTTCTGTGAGAAGGAAACGGAGGGTAGAGAGTCGACACACTGGACGACGTACCCTGGTTGAAAATCTTGGAAGATCTTTCCATGCTGAAGGATCAAATGTTTGTTTGGGGTCACTCTGATTGCTTTTTTCATTTACTTGATGATCATCAGTAGTGTCAGTGAAGTGGTGGACATCTGTTGTAGCCTTCAGATGCAGGCCAGACACAAGCTGGGTGGCTGACGTCAAGACCTCCATGCTAGATGATGTATATCCATTGGTATCTGGTGGTAGTGATGTCTCCTGGAGGTCTGGTCTTTGTTCAGAGTCCTTTGGATGTAGATGGAGCAGCAGACCCCAAATCAAGTGCAAAGGAAACAGACTCATGTTTAGACACCATAAAACCAGGATAACTTGTAGCTGAAGATGCAAAACTCTCAGTGGTGGGCTTTATATGGGTCTTCTTTAACAAAAGTCTCTGATTGTAAAAGGTCATCTGTGCCTAATGTGTTGATGTTTGGTGCAGGTGTAGCTGATATCCAGTGTGAATTATTTTTAATGTATTCTGGTGAAGTCTTAGCAGCTGAAATGACAGAGGCTCTTTGAAATAGTTTGTCTGGACCAAGCGAGGTCTGATAACCTTTTTTATTTCTTCTGTATGCTTCAGTAAATGTTCGATCCATGATATTGACTTGCTGAGTGTCCATCGCTGGAATGACGAAGCTGGTTGGGGCGGTGCTCAAAAATGAGGATTCAAGAAAAGAACTGGCTAATGAGATCGTGTTGACATTTGCAGATGCCACTGTCACAGATTTCTCAAGATCAGAGTTCTTGATTGGATCCTTGAAGTTTTCAAGGTTGTTGATTGGCTCAGCCTTTCCACTGTCCTGTGTTTTGTCAAACAATAGAATCTTTGAGGGCTTTTTCTCTACTGGTTTCCTAATATTTTTCTGCTTGAGGTCTGTAAAGTCAAATCTGATGTGAGGGACCCCAAGCAACGCTGTTTTTAAAAAAGCATCCTTGGGAGCGGTAATTGCGAGGGTGTTTAAATGGCTACGTAAGTGAACTTTTAGGCTTGTTGGAAATCATGGCCCTGTGCTGAGACAGGATCATGTAAAGACTCTTGCTTCAGATGAAGAACACTCATGATATCAGCCACTGTAGGAACCAAGAAACAAACCATAAGGAGAAACATGAAGGTGCCAAAGCAAACAGACGGTCAATTGTACAGGAAGTCATTGTAGCAGTGATGTAAAAACAATAAGGCAAATAATGGTATATGTTAATAGATCAAAACGCTTTGGCATTTACGCTTGATTCAGATGACATACCCTTGCAAACAGGCTTAGTGCCGTTCCAGCTTTTCCCCTTGCAGAAGAGAAGCGCAGATCCAAACAAACTGAATCCAGTGTTACAGCTGAAGAAGGCCAGAGATCTGTCTTCAGAAACCACAGAACTACCATGCAGGAGATCACCAAGGCTGGGGCATCCTGATGCTGGGGTACAAAACAACTTTTGGTATGGCTAGAAGTATTAGAGACTATAAAACATAACTTTAACTACGGAAGTTTATTTTAAACAAGCTTTATCACTTGACAAATCTCAAAGAGATTCATCTGCTTCATGTCCAAATTTCTCAGTACAAAATAAATGTATGCATTTTCACAAACATGAATTTATGAACCCACACACAGCGGTGGGTCTCTGGCCCATTGTCCAGACACACAGCTGCTAGTACGGTAACCGTGAATCCGGAATCCTGGATTACAGGTGAAGGTAACATACAGTCCTCCATAACGGAAAAACATATGGCCATTTTCCAAGTGCCCAAAGCCAATGCAGCCTTTGCCAGCAAGGTCTAAGCGAAAACCATCAGAAATCATCATATACATGCACACGGACCAATTTTTGAACTTTAGACTATATCACAATGTTAATCAAGGGCAGACTGAAGGTCTGAAAAAGTGCTAAAAATAAATTATTTACTTAATGTGATAATATAAATTTTACTACTGTAGGAGCTTCATCTGAATTAATATACAATGTCAATTACAACACAGATGTCTAAATCATGATACTGTACCTGGAGTTTGCGTCCAGAGCTTGGACAAAAATACACATAGCAGTGCAGATCTCCAACCTAGCATGACTGAGAAAATTCCACCTTAAAAAAAAAAGAGGCTGTGGAAATCCTAAAAGTGTCAGACTGTAGATGAAGATCACTCTGAACAGTAGAGAGAGGAGTCTTCAACAGATGAGACAAGAGAGAAGGGAAAGAGAGAGAAAATGGGAGGAGACACAAAACAGAATAACTAGAGTTTAAAACCTCCTGGACACTCCTCTTCAAAACAGGACAAAAACATAGAAACTTTTATTTTTCATAGGAATTTTTCTTGTTAAGAGGAGCAACACAAGTCAGGCCAGATGACTTCAGATAAAACCACTGCATAAAACCCTTTTACCTGTGAGAATGCAGACCAGTGTTATTTTTTGAAGTATTATTATACTATTAATATTTTGATAATGATATAACGATCACACTGATGTAGACCAAGTAATGGGATCAGAACCTATTGTCTGCCAAAATAAACAAGAGGAGTCTTCAACAGATGAGACAAGAGAGAAGGGAAAGAGAGAGAAAATGGGAGGAGACACAAAACAGAATAACTAGAGTTTAAAACCTCCTGGACACTCCTCTTCAAAACAGGACAAAAACATAGAAACTTTTATTTTTCATAGGAATTTTTCTTGTTAAGAGGAGCAACACAAGTCAGGCCAGATGACTTCAGATAAAACCACTGCATAAAACCCTTTTACTTTTACCTGTGTGAATGCAGACCAGTGTTATTTTTTGTAGTATTATTATACTATTAATATTTTGATAATGATATAACGATCACACTGATGTAGACCAAGTAATGGGATCAGAACCTATTGTCTGCCAAAATAAACACTGTGTACTAAGCACTAAATATGTAAGGATATTAGATGTGATTTAGTAGAGTACAGATAAGAGTTCTACCCCTTAACTTTACGAAACACATCATGTCTGGTGAGGGCATAAATTGACGTTTTAGGTTTGATAATAAAAGACGTTGCATTGTAAACCATGCACAAGATGAAAACAGAGCAATTAATATCAGAGAAACATCTACAACAGAAATGACTCATGACTCAAGGTGAAGTCACAATTATAGAGTTATGTACTGCTGAACACTTATACTGCACTTGTGAATTACAGTGCAACAAAATAGCTGTGACTGTTTTTAATCTATGCATTTTTTCAGTATATCTGAACAATTTTTCTCATTCATTTATATAACAAAGGGCAGGAAGATTTAAAACTCTTACCTTTATGAAAAATGTGAATCCTGGAAAACGAAAATGAATAACTTCTTACTGTGCCCATAAGTTGTTAAAAAATAAAGATGAAGTACCAAAAATGATTTGTAAATCTGCCTTGTCTGTAATCTGCTCATCCAGAATTAACCCTGCTGCTGCTCTTTGACATCTAGTTTATGCACCACCCTGAAGGCCTCCAGGAACTCATTAAAATCAATGCTGCCATCTTTGTTAAAGTCTATGCTTCGAGCCATGTCATCTATAGTCTGGTCATTCACAGCCACCCCCAAATGAGAACTGAAGAGCTTCCAAGTCTGACGAAACTCCTCGATGGAGATCTGACCTACGTGTGAAGGTGGAGAGGTGGGTTATGATCAGCATAAGATAACCAGCATTAATCTCAGTGAACAATCAGGAAAGCGGTGACACTAACCTGAGTGGTCCTTATCTATGATGTTAAATATTATCTCTAGGTCAGTTCTATACCTATAAAGAGTTTCAGCCAAGTTTGGTGTTACCTAAAAACAACAAAAAACATCTATTTAAAAAAAATAGATTGAATTGTGAAGTACTATATTTTCAATATAAAAGCCAAAGTGAAAAATCTCTGTGAAAGCTTGGCAGTATGACATCCACATATCAGGTAAAAAAATTGGCAAACAAATTTTTCATATTGGCTGTTTTACAATGTTCATTACTTCTCATATATAAAGTAATTAATTCACTTGATTAAAGTGATATATAATGTTAACGTGATATAGAATTACTCATACCGTGACATAAGATTTTGGTCATACCACCCACCCTTACATAACATAAACATAGATTAAGATAGTGACCGGAGGGATGGGCTCTCCAAGGCTGATGTCCTCAAAGCAGGATTCATACTCTACATTGCCATCTGCACCAAGACGGGCCAGGCGTGGGCGCAGGGTTCTCCATGGCAGATCCAATCGAAGAACAGACTCCACCACCTGTGCCCACTCGCTAGTGGAGATGCGACCTGCAAGTGAAGGAGAGAAGAACAATTTTAGTTTAACCTCCCAATTATAAATTACCTGCATAATATAATATACGTTTGGGGTCAGTAAGATTTTTTTCTTGAAAGAAATTAATACATTTATTCAGCAAGAATGCATTAAATTGCTAAATAGTGATATTAAAGAAATGTATAATGTTTCAAAAGATTTCTATTTCAAATAAATGCTGTTCTTTTGAACTTTCTATTCATCAAAGAATCATGAAAAAAATGGTTTCCAGAAAAAAAATATTTAGCAGCACAACTGTTTTCAACATAGATAAGCATATTGGAATACTTTCTAAAGGATCGTGTGACACAGAGGACAGGAGTAATGGCTAAAAAAAAAATTCAGTTTTGCCAGCAGGAATAAATTACATTCTAAAAAATATTTAAATAGAAAACATTTATTTTATATTGTAATGATATTTCATTGTTTTACTGTTTTTTTTGTTTTTTTGTTTTCAAATAAATGCATCCTTGGTGAGAATAAAATACCTTTCAAACCACTTAAAAAATCTTACAGACCCCAAATTTTAATATAATATAATATAATATAATATAACCTGTGTTGTCTATGTCATACTGTTGAAAGGCAGCCATTAGCTCAGAGCGGTGAGCATACAGCTTCTCTTTCAAAGCCCTGAGTGCTGAACCTTCTGCTACACGAACCCTGAAATACACACACAAACAAACTACATGTAATATGGATGCACACATTAGCATGAGAACCTCCACCTATAGAGTCACACAGTTTCATATACTTAACAGCTACTAGCGAAGAGAGAGTACCTCTGATGGAGTGTGAGTTTTCTGGTGCTCCGACTGACTTGATACTGGAAGAAGCGTGGGACCAATTCAGGCCCCAGTTTGACATACGCCCCACGATTACTGCCCTCTTCGTAGTAGTTAGATGCAGAGAAAATAGTGATAACCTTAAATAAAAAAAGAACAATTCCTGAAATAATGCTGGAATCAAAAATATACTGTACAGACCTCTTAAAATCAAAACTGAACTGTTGTGCCCTTTCGTTCTTTTGCTTTGTCATCTTTGTCCTCAACCTGCCAGTGTTCTTATAAAAACTGACTATACTGCAGCTTTACAGGACTGTAAGAGACCTCTGAATAGATTTTTATGAGAAAAGCTGAAACGTGATGTTGATACCGTGACAGAAGGGATCATGTTTTGTGTGGATCAAGGCTTCTGTGTTCACCTGTCCATTGTGGCAGAGCTCATAGCCCTCCTGTTTACATTCATGTGATCTGATGAGCAGACAGAGGCCATGTTTCTGCAGCAGCGCCTGTGTCACGTCTGGCCCAAAGTAACAGCCACCACCGCGAAAAGAATTCGGGCTGCAGCCATTTTGATTTTTAGGGTCACTCCAGAGAATATCGACAACCTGTATCAGACAAATTAAGACCATGTGAAATAAAACATATTTGAAAAGCATCTTCTTATACTTTTCCATCATTGTTCCAGTCATTTGTCTATTTTTAAATGTTTAGGAACTACTAAATGATTTTAAACAATTTTTATAGAGACCAGTGCTATTATTATTAACTAAATCATTAACTAAAACTAAGTCAAAGGCTGAAAGAGATATAAAGACAGCAAAACACTTCAGGTCAGAAGTAGATTTTATACCTTGAGCCACAGTATTACAGGAATAGTTAACCCAAAATGTTGTGTCTGTCATCATACATTCACCTCAGTGTTGTTATTGAAATAAAGCTGAAATAAAATGTAAATGAAGTAAATTAAAGCTAAATAGAAATATTTTTAAAAAAATACAAAAACATAAAATTACTCAAACTAAAATGAAAATGAAAACTGAAAATACAAAAATAAATATATACATACACCGATGTGCATACATACATATACACATACACATATATATATATACAGTATATATATATAAACTTAGTATAACTGGAAGATTTTATATTGACCGTCTCTTGAAATAAAATGCCGATTGATTATTTCTAAGCACAAAACCCAAAGTGCCATGCTCTTTTATAATTCAAAAACAATTATTTTTGTGGAAGTTCAGTAGGTTGGTGCAAAATTCTCACATCTCCTGCAATAAAGTGAGTCATATTGTGTACTGGAGGTTTAGGCCAAATGGATTTCTAAGGCAGAACGTTTCCACATCCAAGAAAGAAGCTATTTGTCACACACTCTCACCGACAAAACACAGTGGGAACAGTTTCAACTCACTTGCTGCCATTCCAGTTCTTCTCTGGGTGGCTCAGGGGGCTCTAGGGAGACGAAGGAGTCCAGGAAGGGAACTTGGAGCACATCGGTGGGGCTTGGCAGACTGGGGGAAGGAGGAGGTCGACGTGAAGTGTTCCGTGATGAGACTCGGGGGGAGCACACAGACGATGAGGAGGATGAAGATGATGAAGACGAGGAGCAGCTCCCTTGTTTGGTGAAGTGCTTCTTTCTCCTGCGGGAGGCACGACTGGTGCGGCCTGAGGAGCAAGGGCTGTCCAACCGGGATCTGCCGCTTTGTCTGCTGCTGCTGCGACTGCATGTGTGAACGTTGAGATGATCAGCGCTGCGTTTAGGCAACCTGAGAGCAGACTTCACCTGCAAAGCAGACTTACATGTGAGGGATAAACCTTTTTTACATTACCCTGCTTACTACATCGCTACTTACCTAAACAAACAAACATGAACTATAGATTTAAACTGAAACTATTTTATGTAAGAAGGAAGCCTCTAAATAAAAGACCTACTTTATGTCTCGCAACTGTGCTCAGAAAATAAATAAATGGTGAATTATAGGTTTAAATGGAAATAATTTTATTATGTCAAAAGAAAGAATATAAATCCATCCGAACGTAAACAAAAGACCTACTTTATGCCTTTCAACAGTGCTCAGAAAGCCCAGATCAATTTTGTCCGATATGCCACCGTGAACAATAAGCACTTTGTTGTCGATGACAGTTGCAAGAGGTAGCAGGCTGAACACATCCTGAAGAATCTGTAGGATTTCCCTGCCATGAGTCTATAAAGAAAGCAGTAGAAGTTAATGTCCAGTAGGTGGCGGTGACATCTAATATTCGGCAGTAAACTTTACAAGTAAATTTTTTGTTTAACTTTTATTACGCCCTTTTAAACAAGCAATTATATATTTAAAGTAATTTAGAGAGTTTTAAGGCTATCTATTTGCAGCTGCTTTAAAGATTGGGAAAAAAATTTCTAATAATTTTTAAATACTACAAAACTTTTAACAAACCTACATTTAACTTACCTATAATCAAAACATTATTACACAAAAAAAGCACAAATACAAATATACCTTATACTTCTGCATGACTTCTCTTGTGAATCCATATCTGCAAGAACATATAAAGCTTACACACTAATATAAATCATACTTTTAATTCAGTTTGAAAAAAGAAAATGCTTTCTGAGGACATCCTACTCATGGTATACCATGACTAGAAAACTTTTTTGACTACCAGAATGCATAGACCATGAAAAAACTTTGTATTGCCTTATTAAAATTCATGCCTTCATTAGAAGTCTTCATGAATGGGTGATCAAGCATGTTACCTGAGGTTCATGATGTGGTCCTCATGGTTGCCTCTGTTCAGATGCATGTGGTCGGGGTAGAGCAGTAGGAAGGCAAACAAAATGATGATAATCTCTGTAGATTTTTTTCCTCGATCCACAAAGTCTCCATTGAATATGTAGGGGCTCTCCGCGGAGGGAAGGCCATTCTGGGTATTAAGGCAATACATCTTAAATGTAATAAGTCACAAGTGATGCCCAAGTGGCTTTAATGAACTCATTCTTTGGCTTTGCTTAGGTAGATTACCCCTGCACCAATATGCTAAAATGTAATTACAAGAAATAATATTCTAGATCTAAGCAATCAATCTGCATTTACCTTGTAAAATATAAGCAGTAAGTCATCCAGTCTACCATGCAGATCGCCTGTGTGAAAGAGAAAGTTGGCATATAAACACTGTTTATCATTCCAGGAAATGAAAATCAAATGTTGGAATCTGTGATGAAAATATGCAAAATATAAACACTTTAAATGGCACAACTCAATCTCTTTTAGAGTATTGCAAGATGGGAATTCAGTTATTCATGCATGCTTTTCTGTACTAATTTAATCTGGAGCGCTGTTGAGTATGAAATGGTGCAAGTTGGCTGCGAGGAGCCCATCGAGGTACACTGAAGTGCTTTATGAAGTGCAAAATAAATAAGCACTCATTCATTCATGCTGCCATCACTAGTTTTCCTTACAAGCTATCAAAAATATTTCACATATCTCAAATGCACTGCTGCAAAGAATCGGAGGTGGATTAAACAGTATAAAGTGTGTGTAGATGACCATTCTAGTTTTTCATAAAATATATAGTGTCTCACCACATATAGTTATCTCTTTGGCATAGGACGTCGACAGGTATATGACGTTTGGCATCTGCTTTAAGAACTTCTTCGTTTCATGTAGTAGCTGCAGCACATATTTGCCGTGAAGAGTCTGAAAATGAGAAGTAGTCATACATTTATGTCACTGGATTTTTATGTTTGCATTTTCTAAAGTAAAAATCAGTAGAATAGTAGAATGGCTAGAACTGTAGAAAAGGAAAAAGGTTTTGATGTTATGATAATGTTTTGATGTTTATCAAAAAATATTCTGATAAAAAATAAATATTCACTATTTCTTTTTTTGAAAGAATTTAATACTTTTATTCAACAAGGATGCATTATATTTATCAAGTAACAGTAAAGACATTTATAATGTTACAAAAGATTTCTTTTTCAAATAAATGCCGTTCTTTTGAACATTCTATTCATCAAAAAAAAATTTTTTTTTAAATCCTAAAAAATTAATTACGGATTTCTTAGAAGGACAACTGTTTTCAGTATCAATAATAAGAAGAAGAAATGTTTTTTAAGCAGCAAATCAGCATATTAGAATGACTTCTGAAGCTTCATGTGACACTGAAAACTGGATTAATGATGCTGAAAATTCAGCTTTTCCATTGCGGGAAATTACATTTTAAAATGTATTAAAATAAACAGTTGTTTTAAATTGTAATCAAAATTTACAATATCATTGTGTTTACTGTATAAATGCAGTCTTGGTGAGCGCATTTTAAAAATCTTACCAACCTCAAACATTTGAGCATTAGTGTAGCACAATTTGAAAACCAATTAAAGTCTGCTAGACATAGATAAATAATGTACAAGATGAATTTAGTTTTTGCCAGAATTTGTTCAGACTATTAGTGAAAGTTTTATAGTGTTGTACCTGCTCCTCTTTAAAGGCGCTGAGCAGGGCATTGGTATCAGTCACGCTCAGCGGGAAGGAGAGACGAGGACCGCTGTATGATTCCGGCACGACAATCTGCTCGTACTTCAACTGCCTGGCCTCCTCAGTTAAAGGGTCAACCACAGAGTCCAGGAGGTGAGAGATCAAGTCTGGGGGAAAGAGAACATGGCTGCTGTTGTGACTATGTGGTAAGAATAAAAGAAGAATCATGGAAAGGAAGTGTGACATGCAACTTGATTATCTTGGTATGAATCGGTGTAACAACAAAGCAATGACAAAAAAATTTTGTGGTACATGGATGATGGAACATGGTATGGAAAATGCATCATCTCTGGAATTACAGCCTTTTAGATAGAATCATCAGAATCAGTCATAGAAGTCCAACCAACCTTTTAAAATGAAGTAGAAAAGGTTAAATGAATTTAAAAATCATGAAAAAAACTAAAATAAATCACCAGTTATGACCCAAAGCTTAACAATTTCCCATATAAAGTCATAAAAATGTTAAACTTTTTTCTCCATCCACACATCATGTGAGAACTATTCATTACTATAATGTGCAAAAACAGCAGCCTGATAAAAAAAAAAAATGTAAATGTGAATCACAAAACACACTGAAACATCAAAAGGTTTGTGTTATTGTTAGGCAGCGCTGGGCATGTGGCACACAGAAACATGAATACAGGCGGACAGGCATATCTGTTTCTGTTTTCAGTTATTAAATAAATGATTAATTCTCAACCTGGAGTCTATTATGAAAGGCCTATTTTGATTGCCCATCAAAATATCCAGCTCACAGTGCCATAACACAATGTAGCATACTTCAATTTGCATAGCGTCTGGCCCTGCACAGGGATTTGAGGAGTGCTGACCCATTGTGTCATTCTTGAAAATGTAAATTTGCAGTGTTTTCCATAAATGTATGCAGAGAGAGTTGAATTTCAGGAACAGATGTTTGTATTGAGGAGAGAGCTAATGCAGAATAATTTTTTCTTGCCTTGATTTAGCCAATATCTACTGGACATCATTCCCTGCTTCCTTAGATTGCTAATGACAAACAAGCATTATTAAGCTCCATTTGGAGCTCTACTATCTGGCAAAACGTGAAAGGTATTTACATTTTTGTGGTCAGTGATGCTGTGGCAGAGTTTGCCAGTTAAGAATGTGGATTCATAAAGGAGACAAAATTTCCAGAAATTGGATAAAGCCAATAATCAGGCAATATTCAAGCCTTTTCTGTGATTTTGAGTAAAAATCTGCAGATACACTAATGTTCAAATGTTTGGGGCAAGTAAGATTTTTTTTTTAAATAAATAATTTTTTTCCATCAAGAATGCATTATATTGAACAAAAGTGACATTAAAGACATTTATAATGTTACAAAAGATTTCTATTTCAAATAAATGCTTTTTCCCCATTTTTCTGATGAGCATATAAGAGAACCAAAAAAAAGAGAAACTTGCCAACTTTAAATGTATATAACATCACTCTATAATTTTTTTCTGCTTAGTGCTCAGAACCCATGGCACACATTGAAGCTCCACTATAGCTGTGATTGCAGACTTTTCAATAATAAATATGAAGATACACTTTACCATACTATAATAATATGCTTCCTAATTGCCATCAGACAATGATTCTGGAGCCACAGAAACAAGAAGCTGAACATGAAAACCATCCAATCCAAGCCCAAGATACATGATTACCTGACAAACCCAGTCATGTGCACTTGCGGCCCGACTCAATAGGAACTGATTAAACACAGTTTTCCCCAAGGCAAGCCAATTTAGTGTCATCACAGGCTAGAGCAAAGAACCTCCATGTGAAGAATATAAAATAGTAAAAAGTTCATTATTGGGTAAAACAACTGAAAATTTTACCCATGTAGTTTTCATACTATCATGATTTTTCAAAAACATTAGAAGAACATTCTATGCTCTTGCTTTTCCTACTGCGTTCTCTGTGATCTCTGAGTTTCTGCTGTTCTGCTTGACTAAAGATGGGACTAATTGTCTTCTGTAATTCTGCACTTTGGACAGCTGCCCGTGGAGGCTGGCTGCTGCATTTCTGGCTCTCTCTGCATTACCACCACTCAAAATGGGATCTCCCAAGGTTGCTAAGCAACTGTCTCTATATAGCATTTTTTGGAATCACTGAAAGGATAGGTGTGCAACACTCCAGAGGGAGATCGTTTGATGCAAAATCACATGAGCTATGGGCTTTACAAAGATGAGCTGAGGGCAGCCGAATTAAGACAATGAAATAAAAATCACTAAAACCACCATGGCTCAACCAATAGTTCATGGGATCTATCTGTTCATCTGACCAATAACAAATGGGACCGTTTTAAACAATTAGTTATTTTGGTGATTCAATTTGGTGATGCAAAAATAACACTTTACCTTATAGAAGCCTTTGTATTTTTGAATGTGACATTTATTACCTGGTCCATTCCCATTCATGTGTGTGAAGTTGTCCAACATGAAACTGAAGAAACTGGAGAGCTATAAAAATTTTAAAAAGATGAGTTTTAATATCATTACAAGTTTATTAAGATTAAGGGGAGATATTTGTTTGTGGTTTTTTCTATGTGTGGACTGGCCATATTAATCAAGTGGCTTTTATACCTGTAGCTGGTCCTGTTCCCCTGCATACTCAATGGACTGAAAGATGTTCCATGTATAGCGTCTTCTCATCTCCAGGCGAGCAACATAGCGTCTGTACCAACGCTGGATCAGTATGGCAGCTTTTATAGCTATGTTAAGAACACACAAAGAATGCAAGTGGCTGGTGTAAACAGTATCCTTGAAGTCATATTTCTGTAACCACATAGACAAAAACTAATTGGGAAGAGAAATGCAGGCAATGAGGGTTTCCAATGGACCAAATATGCATACTTCCCTACTTAGTATGCAAAACGCAGTAATATGTCTGCACCTGGAATCGCATACTTTCCTATTACATAGTAGGTGAAAAACAGTGTGTGAAATTAGAAGTTAGAGGTCCAAATTCACAGTACTCATACAACAGTATGCAAAAAGCACCCGGATGACTTACTACTTCCGGCGAGATTCTGAAGTGTGCATACAATGGACCCTTTACTATCCCATGAGACCACGGGAGAGGATTTGTCAATGGCAGTAAAGTGATGCAAAACTGTCACATTTTAATGACAACATGGTGAATGTAGTACATCTGTATTTTACTCATACTACACACAGTAAATATATAGAACTTACTTTTTAGCTGACACTATTTAATTACTTATCCAAAAGAAGCACCTACTCAGACAGTATGCGATTTCAGACACAACCCCTGTCTAATTATGCAGTATTCATGAAACAAGACCCTGGTTGACCTACTACATCCTCTAAGAGTGTACAACCATTGGACACTTTGCCATCTCATGAGGCAATGGAAGCTGCAAAGCTGTCAGATTAAAAAAGAAAAAAAAGAGAAAGAGAAAAAATAGAACACCTCTTTTTAAGTGTAAGTGCTTTGGTATAAAGAAGGTTGCTCCTCATGGTTAAATTTTACTTGTTTAACAACACCTGAGTGAATTATTTTTGAGAACATATGAGTCAAAAGATACCAACATGGCAAATGTAGAATTTCTGGGAAATATCTCCACATATACAGAGAAATTAAACATGAAAGATTTTAAAAAATTCATTTTAGGACAGCACCGTAGCAACCCTTCAAAGATGTTCTGTTGCTACAGCTGATTCCCCTTTGTCTCATCAGATTCACACTGTAGTACATCTGTATTTTACTCATACTACACACAGTAAATATATAGAACTTACTTTTTAGCTGACACTATTTAATTACTTATCCAAAAGAAGCACCTACTCAGACAGTATGCGATTTCAGACACAACCCCTGTCTAATTATGCAGTATTCATGAAACAAGACCCTGGTTGACCTACTACATCCTCTAAGACTGTACAACCATTGGACACTTTGCCATCTCATGAGGCAATGGAAGCTGCAAAGCTGTCAGATTAAAAAAGAAAAAAAAGAGAAAGAGAAAAAATAGAACACCTCTTTTTAAGTGTAAGTGCTTTGGTATAAAGAAGGTTGCTCCTCATGGTTAAATTTTACTTGTTTAACAACACCTGAGTGAATTATTTTTGAGAACATATGAGTCAAAAGATGCCAACATGGCAAATGTAGAATTTCTGGGAAATATCTCCACATATACAGAGAAATTAAACATGAAAGATGAAAAAAAATTCATTTTAGGACAGCACCGTAGCAACCCTTCAAAGATGTTCTGTTGCTACAGCTGATTCCCCTTTGTCTCATCAGATTCACACTACCATGTTAACATCACGCTTTAATGCACATACAGCTCTTGGTACAGGGACACTTGCATATTTTCCAGAATACTTGAGTGCAAAGACTGTGCTAAAAATACACCTCGTCTCAGGAGGTCAATATCACAGGTGCTAATTAAAGAAGTGCTAAGAGCAGTTAAGAAGAAAGAACACAATTCAGACGTCAGAGACAAGGCTTTGCTCAAGAGTACACATCCATACAGAAATTATAAGCTGTGTTCGAGAAGGATGGGAGAATTGCTCATCCATTTTATTTATTCTAAATGCACAGAGAAAACTCACACCCATTGGTTTACCGCAAAAATATATGGTAAACCATCTAGTTTGTACTTTCAAAAAGATGTAAACAAATCTACACTGTGCACATACAATTGTGCTTTTATGCCAACAAGTACTTCTCTATAGCCACAAATGAGACACAGACAGTGATGACAGATGCTGAAGAAAGTGCCTTACTCAGAGCTGGGCTGGGCTGCTTGATGGAGCCATCTGTGTGAGAGGTGATTAAATTAAATTGAATAAATTAAATAACACCTTGGGGGTGGAAAAAAAAACAACAGAAAAAGATAGAACTGGGGACTAAATGCAATGCAAGCACTGCCATATTTTTTTACAAATAAAAAAAATGCAAACTTCTTGAAACCAGGGTTGTTGCAAATGGTAGAGGAAAAAGAGGTTAATTATTGAAAATCACATTAAAGCATTAGGGACGAAGAATCAATATTTACCTGTTTCTGAGGGGCGTGTTTGGTTCTCAACTGCAATGGATGTGCCACATCCCATGATGGCACTGCTTGCTTCTAGTCATGAATATCCGAAATTCTTGGGGTTCTCTTCTTCATTTAGTAACCAGAAATGTCTGTGCAAAGAAATAACAGAATAATTGTTCCTAAAATAGCTTAAACTTAATCAGTACAGTACCAATACTGCAACCACATATTCAGGACAGAGGGTAACATAGTTTCATAAAAATACATTTGAACACCAATCTGAATATTGTGGAGATGCATCCTCATGGCTATTGTTGCCACTATTAATAAAACAGACCTAATATTTCAGTGCTATTTTGATATATATTCATAATGAAGTGAAATGGCATTAGAAAAAAGCAATACTGCTTGAAATTAATCCAGCATCACTATAATGTTCCTCTGTAGAATAAAGCAACAAAAGATACTTACTGCAAATCATGCTGGACTTTAATCAGTGCCCCTAAAGAGCCTTTCAAAAGGCCCTTTTAACAGTGATCAATCTCTGGGAGGGGACACAGGGAGAGATATGAAGACTGTTGATTGTCACCTTCACAGTGTTAGAAATATTATAATAATAGTAATAACAATAATTTATTATTATTATTATTATGTGTCTTTATAGTTTAAATATGTTGCCCCAACTTCTGTCTCCTCAGACATGCTTATCATTTTTAAGTCACATGAATCTCTTTAAGAGGCATTAAAACATTATTGACACGGTCTTTATTCCTTAACGACAAAAAACTGCAGAATAAACAAGCGGAACAAACAATCGTACAATTATGCGCGGAACACAAACAAAACACTGCAAGTTACCTTTCCGTTGTCCATCATTCAGTACGACATCAAATACGCTGAGAAATTAGGGTTGGATAAGAAGTAGATGATGAAAAATCAAACATTAATTTCCAAATGTGGAGGGATGCAATAGATAAACACCACAAGTGTCAGATAAACCTAGCTTTGCATTAAACGCCGTGGCAGTCTGACGAATGACGATTGGAGAGCACATCTCACTGACTCGCGTGAGTCTAGTGAGGAGGTTTTGATTCATCCCAGTGACTCGAATCGTTTGGATCCGTTCAGTAAATGATTCATTCACTGATTCGTTTATTAACCCTCGTTAATATATTCGTTTATATTCTTATATATATATATATATATATATATATAGTATGAAAAACGCCTTGGTCGTCTTCAGTCAACTTCTTGATTCACATTTATTGTGGGCAACTTTCATAATCTTGCATTTGTTAATAAAATATTTCGCAAGCAAAATAATTAAGTTGCAAAGAACGTAAACATTTTCATATTGCTTCTCTAAAGTGAAAAATACAAACAAAACATCTTTAAATGTCAAAGATCAAAGTAATTATGTTTACAGTGAACTGGCAAATGTCTTGCCAAGTTTTTCTTACGAGCACAAAGCCAAAAAAAAGATGCAAGACATTTTCTGGTTGTGAGTCACAGAAAGTACAGTTCACATCTATACTTAATTTGTATTATTCACGGTCTTGTAGTGTAGACGTGACGTGACGTATGTTTTGCAAAATGCGAGCAATCATCCAAGAAACGAGGAAAAGCCTCTCAAGGGGTTTGAAGTGTTTTTAAATTACGCCAGGGCACCATCAATTTAAGCAGAGGGCTTCCACCCCTTTTTGACTAACGTTAGTGGCAAAAAACACGTACTGCAAAGAATCAAATATTCCATATATAAATAAGTCATACATGCCAGCGTACAGTTGTTACGACAGTAAACAAACCCTCACTATTTTAACAAAAGGCTTTTATTTCAACAGTTAAATATTTACAGATCCGTTAAAATAGATACACTCAAAGCGTCTGTTAAAAAGATTCAAGCGCCTGCCAGCGGAGCTGGATTTCTGCGTCGTCTCATCTGATCCCAGGCCTCCAGAATCTCCCTCCTCGAGACGGTTCTGTGGCGGCTGAAACAGGAGAGACGCGCGGCCTCTGACCCCAGTCTCTGCAGCAAATATCTGCTTACGCTCTTGGCCTCATGAACGCGTCTCACTGCCGTCTTATTGACCTGTGCATGAAAGCCAGTTGTTTTTATGTACAATCATTTTAGGTACACTTTCAACTTCTGTTCTTTTGTTATTTCTGGACCTACAAAACACACCTGTTGTCGGACTGTGTACATGAACGCAGCGTGTCCTCTGGTTCTTGATATGGAACTTCTGGATGAGGAACACCGCTTGCTTTTAAGGCCAAGAGCTTTCATGTTGATCAGAGGAGTGTGTAAACAACAGTCGCTGAAGCGAAACTACAATTTAAGGTATTTCTAATCAATCCACTAATGACTAACAAGCAGGTGCATTCCTCCTCTATTTGCCTTGAAGCGCATGCGCACTCACTCGACACAAAAAGAGCACATTTTCTGAACACCAGCGTTTGTCCGACTTATTCCATCTGGAGAGTTTAGTTTTGATATCATTTGATAGCTACCATATAGTTTTCTGTGAATTTATATAACTGAATATAATGTTTTTATGTTGGTTGATGGAGAATTCATGGGCACAGCAGTAGCCTAATTAATTTAGACTTTAGGGGGGAAATATGCTTTTTATTTGAAGTGGAACAGTAAAGTTAGACACTTTGGGTAAGATGACCCCTTCTGAAATGGGGCAAAATACTCCTGAGGCATTTTTAAGTTATTATTTTTAAATAATTATTAAATTACAAACATCTCGTTTTTGACATAAGGTCTTGAGTATTAAATTGCTACCTTATATAGAAGTGAATAATTAAAAGTTATATCAGATGTAGTTTATGGAAATGTTTGAATTGATTTCCTCTAATAATATATTGGATCATCCTGTGCATGTACATTGATACACTGGGGGCCTCAAATGCTCCCCTTACTACAATTTATTTTTTATATGAATATTTCTTTTATTTATTTTTATCAAGTAGCCATATTAACCTTTTGGAATTGTGTTAAAATGGTGAATCCAACTTGAGAGTGAACAGATTATACAACATGCAAGGTACAGAGAGACACTTTATTCAAAGGCATTGTTTCTCAGGTAAGCCACAAACACAATTAAACAATGTACGCTCATAATAAATTCAAAAAGGAATTGGTCATAACTGTGGGAATGAAACATCCTACATCACCATCACAAACCACATTAGAACACACAATAATACAAAACTCCATGAGATGTCCCAGATAAGCAAACCTATGGTTCAGCCATATTACTACAGTGGCCTCAGCTTGCAATTTGATAAAAATGATTTGACAAAGCAACACATTTTTGGTTTATAAAATGAATGAAATATACTTTATATGCAAAAAGAAGAGGAAAACATATTTAAGACAAATAAATGTAACCTTAACACATTCTAATGATCGCTTCTTCCTTGAAAATACCAGAAAATAAGCATTGATGCATTGATTGGGCAGTGATATTCACTTTGGCATGTTGTGATACAAGAAATGGGATGGAACAGGAAATAGTTGAGTATGGCTTCGCTGACATGTTCCAGATCAGGTGCATTTATTCATGCAAAGTAGCAACTCCATGCGGATGGCGATGCGAGTGTGCCAACCAAGAGGGAGGATACGGATGTAACGTGCTACGATAGGTGGACGCAGAAGGTTCTGAACTGTGGAAGAGCGGTCAGAGTTTCCATAGAACATCTGAGGGGAAAAAAAGTATGCGTTGAAAACAGTTAAAACCAATATTTATGTATTCCTTCAAAGAAATAGTGATTTTTTTCCCAATCCTTATTATTCCAGGATGGGCTGGAATACCCTGTTGTTTCCAGTTTGGTCCTTGTAGTAGATCCAGTTGAGTTTCTCATTGGTGCGGTACTGCACGGTGTACTTGGTAACCCACTCATCAGAGTCACAGCGGCCCTGGGTCAGGATACCAGAAACCACTTTGACCTCCTTCAGGTCAATCTGAAGCCACTGGTTGGTATCCTGGAACTTAGACAGCCAGGCACACCTTGGACAAGAGAAAGAGAGAGAATCTATATATGCAAAATAGTCCAAGTCTCTTTAAGATTGAAATACCTAAAACTGTTTATCAAGATTGTTTCAGTAATACTCTGTTCAAAAGTTTGGGGTCTGTAAGACTTCTAAATGTTTTTGAAAGAAGTCTCTTATTCTCACAAAGGCTGCATTAATTTGATCAAAAATACAGCAAAAAATATTGTGAAATATCATTACAATTTAAAATAACTTTTTTTCTATTTTAATACATTTTAAAGGGAAATCTATTATGGCAAAGCCATTACTCCAGTCTTCATTGTCAAATGATCCTTCAAATATCTTTCTATTATGCTGATTTGGTGCATTTCTTCTTATTATTACACATTACAGTTGTGTTGCTTAATATTTTGTTTTCAGGGTTTTTGATGAATAGGTCCATTTAATGCATCTTTTAATCAATTTAATTTATCCTTGCTGAATAAAGGTATTCTTTTTTTTTTTTCAATGAATCTGTATGTATATAGCATATAGATAAAATAAGAGAATATATTAGGACTAAAAGAAAAGGAAAATTCGTAAATTCGTCTTTTTATGAAATAGATTTATTTGTTATAAAAGAGTCAATTTGAAGATTTCTCTATTTAAAAATCCAGTTGGCTCTTTTAACTGAAAGAGGTGACTTCTGTTCCAGCAGCCACTATACTAATAAATATTTCAGAGAACTCACCCAAATCCTTGGTTGTTGAGCCTTGCTTTGCTTGGAATCCAGGAGGAGAACCAGCCTGTGTACTGGTCTTCATTAGAGCAGCTGATCTGATCTGAGGTCACAGATCCTGCCTCAAAACCCAGGGGCTTATGGTAGCGACACTCTGGACAGTAAATTGAGAATGAGGTTAATATGTATCTTTGCATATACTGTTATTTGAAGTAAAAACATAAACGCATCTATGTCAGTTTGGCTCCAACCAGGCTTTCTGACTCTACAGGCAGCTCCAAATACCAAAAATCTATGGACAGGCCCATTCAACAAAAGCTTGCAAGATATCAGACATGTCTGACAGGAGGCTTAATGAAACATTAGTCACGCAATCAGAGAGATTTCTTTGTCCTGCTGTGTTAAAGAGAAATGGACAAAGCGTTAATCTGGCGGCTCTGTAATTCCGTGCTTCCACTCTTCTGCTCGTGACTTTACAATCCCAAAAGCTTTAGTTCCCCATAGTGAAAGATCACAACATCCATTAAGACTTTAGTTTGACAGATGGTTTCTCTTTTTCAGAGTGGCTCTTTAAAAATTTCGCCAAAAGTAAATGTTGATAACTAAACAGTAACCTCCATTGCATGGTCAAAAATATAATGGAAGTCAAAGGGAAACAAAGCTGTAGAACAAAAAAGAAAGAAAGTCATACAGGTTTGGAATGACAAATGATAGAGAATGAACTTTTTTTTTTTTCTTTTAAACGGTCCCTTTTAATGGTCAATGGTTTAATTGAGTGGACCTAATCTTGTTTTGGTAATCTCAGCATCTCAACATAATGGGATCCATCTCTGATTCTTACTCCATTTAAAAAAAAAAAAATCTCAGCTTTTCATTTCATTTAATTCTAACACATCAGTCTTGGAGGACTCCGAACACAAGTTGCTCTGTGTTAATGGAGCATGTCTGCCCTGTGGTGGTGTGCCAATGGGATGCGGTGATGGCGCACATGGCCCAGGTGAAGCTGCAACCAAATTATTAATGACTTTCTGCACCACTGCAGGCGAAGGCTTGTCCGGCAGCCAGCTCATTCATACATGTCCTGCCTTCTGTTTTTAGAGGGCACCAGCTAGTGCTAACAAATCCATTCATCTCAATTCCCAAAGAGTCAATGTTAGTGCAAAGCCCCATTCACAAGTTTCGCTCTCCTGACAAAATGAGCATAAAGGATTTCAGTGGTATTTGATTCACAATTCACCCTCAGGCAGTAAAAACAGTACTATCTAGATAACGAAGGAAACTGATTCATTACATATTTGTTTAACACATTTTGAACAACTTCTTCATAATGGAGTTTATCCAAACCAGAACAAAGCCTACAACGCACTCACACTTTGGTTACAATTAGTGCTTATTACATTTTAAAAGAAGACAGTAATGTGATTCTTAGAATGCATTTTTTCATCCATATTTCTTACAGTCCCTTTCTCTTTCTTACCTGGCATGCAGTCCATCTCCTGTCCCCTACTTGATGAAGAACCTTTAGAAAGCAACTTGCTAGAGGAATCACAGTCACACTTGCAAATTTTCCCAGCCCATGTGTCGTTGCCCTCGCCATCCTAAACACATATTAACATTGCCATCAATATTTATCTTTTAATTGTCTCTGATATCAATAGCAAATGTGTTTAATTACCTCTTGTGCTTGCAGCCCAATAAAACCTGGACAAAATGTGGAAGAGTAAAACAGCAACATTTAATTAGGCTATAAATAAAATTGTAATACAGGTGAAATGTTTTATTAACATTTAACATTCACAATCATCTTTATTAACTTAGTTTAGTAATAGTTAAATTTTTTTCATTGTTCTTTGTCTTTAAATCTGATAAAAAAATTTTTTTTCCAAATTTGAATATTAATTTCTGCTAATTTAGTGAAAATGATACAACTCAATAACACATACCTTCAGACACCAGCAGGACGGCTAACAGAAACGTGTTCTGCAGTCTGTACTCCATGATGGTTATTTTTCGAGTGGTGGACCACCGCACTGATATTAAAGGTGCTGGATTACTGTAATCCACAGAGCACTAATGGCCTTATCTAATGCCCTTCATCTCAAAGCTCCTCCCTTTACTTCTGAAAGCTAGTTTGAAATTGTTCACATCCCAGTCGGACCCTTGTCTGTTAAAAAAGGGAGAAATAGCCAAATGATCTCAGATTATAAAGCCGGATGGTCACCTTCTGTGACCCAGTTAATGGTTCAATGCATGCAATTAACTCAATTCAACTTCCCCGGCAATCTGTTGATGCAAATCACTACATTAAATATGCCATCTGATGGAGAGACAAGATGAAGGCTGGTTTCTTTCTTTTCAGTGCAGTGTCATCTTTCTTCTGTAGTTGCTATGGTTCATGATCAATTATTTCATTATGTACAGGTCTTCATTGTGTGTGTTTTTTTTCATTAATAATGTCAAAGACATAGGTTTCTTATATGCTGGCAGGTGTTTGCAATGAAATGATGCATGCTGGAACACAGCTGGGTAGACATTGTTTTAATTGTTATTAATTACAGCAGAATATACATTATAAACACTGTTAGAGTCAGACATGCCCAGACTTAAATCAAATGTTAGGGTGCTGTTACCCACTTGTACCCTAAAGATAACACACAAACAAATAGTCTTCACAAAAGACATAGACAAAGTGCTGAGTGAGTGGTGGTGATTATGCTTGAGCTAAATGTTGTGCATTGGTGAATAAAGTTACAAGCAAATAACTCTGGATAGATGAAGGCCCAGACAGATTCTGCACTTTTATCTAATTGTCTGTGCTGATTTTGGGGCAGAAATAAATATGGAAGTGTGTGTTAAAACTATAGAGTACTAGACTCTTACTGGTAACTGAAAGAAACAGTAAAAAGCCAAAATGTGTCATAAATGAACATGCAAGCGGTGAGGGATGTGAAGAAGTTTGCAGATTCTGTATGGGCCTGAAAGATGTAACCAAAATGATGGCTGTTGTCTAAATGAAAGTCACATCCCGATTGGTTGGATTTTTGACAGCTACTGTATGTTGTTCGTGTCAATCCTGTCAAGCAGAAGGGGAAATGACACAATTTAGGGATAGACCACACTGTCAATTCAGCAAACAGGATTCAAACAGACTGCAGTAACTCAGCAAAACAGTTCAACATCTAATAGGAACAGTCTTAACATTTATATAAAATAAAAACAGATATCTTTCCAAGTACATTCTATGACAGACTCAGAAGTCAGTCCACTAAAATAAAAAGAGAATGACAGATATGTATGTGAACTCATATGACAGATGCTCTTCTGCCAGAATAAACTCTTTTTCCTGATAAGATTGTAAACCTTTGGCCTTGCATGACTTCACAATGGCTTTAATTGGCACACAACGGCTTTAGACAAAAATGTGGTGATTTCAATACTTAAAGGTGGAATAAACATCATGAAATGTCTAAAGTAGAAAAGAGAGAACTGTTTTTGATAACCATGAAAGATGCAGATGCAGCTGACCACTGGGCCTTATTTAAGACTTACATTCTTATGGAGATATAAACATTTGTCCAATGGTAAACTGAAAAAAAAAAATGTAAATACATTACATTCTAAGAGGATACAGCTTCTAGTCATTGCCAAGCCACAGAAAATGAACAGCCATTCACAAATATGAGGATCAATGAAGATGTCCAATATATTTCATCTATTCTGGGGACGAACCTGAATGTTTATATCCCTGCATTCAACAGCTCAGACACTGGAAGGTTAACAGGCATCCTATTTGGATGATCGATGCTACAAGCCAATATAAGACAAGCTGTCTATGGCTATTAAACCATGACAGATGAGTTGTCAGTACCTCCAAGTATACTTCAACATGGCAGTGAACCAAGAAGCACTCTGAATCACCTTCAAAATATCCTTCAACATACATTTAAGGCAGTCAAAACCCTGCTCATTCAGTCCATATATAAGGTGAATAGAGGTGAAGTGGGACACAATTTGTCAGTGTAATTTTTAAAACATAATTCAAATGGCTACAATGTCATCCTGTAGTAATTTAAGATAGAATATATACATTATTATAGGATCAGCTATATTACCGTTCAAAAGCTTGGGGTTGATACGTTTTTTTGAAAGAAGTCGCTTATGCTCACCTAGGCTGTATGTATTTGATCAAAAATACATTAAAAACAGTAATATTGTGAAATATTATTACAATTTCAAATAACTTTTTATATATATATTTTAAAATGTAATTTATTCCTGTGACGATAAAGCTGAATATTCAGCATCATTACTCCAGTCTTCAGTGTCACATGATTCTTCACAAATCATTATAATATGCTGATTTGGCGCGCATGAAACATTCATTATTATCAATGTTAAAAATGTATTTTTTTTTCAGGACTCTGATAAATAGAAAGTTAAAGAACAAATGATTTGAAACATATATATATATATATATATATATATATATAAACCTAAAACAAAATTTAAAACAGTATTGTGTATTCACTCTACAATATCACACCACTATCAGACTCCATTTTGACAGAAATGACAGAATGGTCATTTCTGCCCACAAAGATGCAGCCCTTCTGAAATCAGTTTTCTGTTTTAGCGCTTAAACTAGCTTTGTAGTATTTTAGTACTCTGGGATAGGGAAGTGGTCATTTTTTGCATGTTAGCATGATTCCACACAAGTTGATTTGAAAGAAAAAACATAACATTCAAAACAAAATAATGGTGCTTCGCAAACCAGAAGAAATGCAGAATCAGCGACATTCTACATGCTGCAAACGTAGGTTTTGTAGCGGGTTAACAAGGCCGGTTATAGATTAACAGTCGCAGGCGACCTCACCACAGCTGGCTACAGCCAAACTATTTATCTTGTCAGTCCTAACAGCTGGCTGATGAGAAGATTACCTGGCACCACAGAGACCGACTGTGCCAACGTACTGCAGATTAAAGGATGTTCGAGCGTTTATGGACAAGGTGTTAATCCAAAGTGATGCAATCACATTCAGGCCAGGATGAAATACTCTCAAACCGGCAGACCGCATTACTCAGGAACAAAGAGTTTCATTTCACTAATATTAACCTGAAAATATGCAACAAGAAAACAAGAGGTTCCAGAAAGGGGCTTTTCGAACAAGCACATAGAAGTTGATTCTCATCTCTTCCTACAAATCAAAAAACAACAGTTTGTTATTGCATGGCAGTTTAACCATGAAAGACAACACAAGAGTTTAAAAGAACATAATGACTAAACAGGATTGCTGTCAGATATATGATGTGAGATATATAGAATATAAATGATTCAAGATGTTACTGAAAATTAACTTGGTCATTTCATTATGCATAACACACTGAAATAGTGCTGAGACAACGGAAATCAATAAGATATAAATGAGAACAGATAAAAAAAAAAACATGACTTTTGATGTAAATGTCAAAGATACTGTATAGACTAAATCTGAATGTGTAACTTGAACATAAAACTTCTAAATCCAGTCCTGTGAAAGACAGAGCTCATATACTGTAGGTAGATAAGGTAGAAGATTAGATGGATACAAAATTCTGTTTTAATCAAACACCATATCAGCACAAACACCTGTGAAATGTCTGTTTAAAGTGCACCATTTATAAACAATACTACTAAAAAAAAAAAAATAGTTCCCAGGACACATTTCACTAGAGTTATTTAAAATGAAAAATGCTCTGTCACTCTCTTTGGGGGGATTTTGTAAGAAACTGCAGTTGTTAAGCAAAGTGCCTGTCGTGATAATCAATGTAAATGAATAAAAATGTAACACTCTGCTGCAACTCTATGAAGGATGATAAATTCACCTCAAAGTTATGATATATTGCTCTGTTTGCATTGGTATTCAAATGCCTGGAATTCTTAATATAGCTAGTTTGCATATTTTATATCCATCTCATTTCAATCTATATTAGTAGAATATAATTGAATGAAATGTACAGTGAGATCAATCTAAAGCAAACACTGAAAGCCTGAATGAAAATGTGCTGCGTTTCAGAGGCCACTCCAAAATCTTACTGCGTCTCCCACCTGCCCTCCCCGCTAACAGATCAATAACTGCATTACGTCTTTGAAATCCTTTTACCAGGTTCTGAGGCAATGCTTTTATCTCTTCAAAAACATGCGGTTAAACTGATTCAAATAAAACCGCCAGTTATTCAGTTTGTTCAAAGAATCATGCACACGTACGACTGAATCCCCGCAAAGCGACCGCTGAAAGTCACGTCAGGATGGAGATACGGACTTAACTCTCACAACCTTGAGCAGAGCCGCTTGTAAACCATCGCTCGTGCCACAGGCAAAGTCACACTTATCCATCAGCTGGTGGGGTTTAGATCGCAGAGGGAGACACCGTGAGGCCTCTGCTGAAATTCATTATTCAGATTCATTATTTCATTAAGCCTCTGCTGAAATTCATCAGCTCTTCGGGGATCTGGACTCTAATGAACTCATGCTAAACACAAGCACTATCTGATCTCAATGTGTTGGGTTTTGAATGCCAAGCTCATGGGAAGTAAGAAAACATTGTAAGACACCGGCTACGGGTAAAGTGAGAGAGATAGCCATCATGGGACGTCAATTTAATGGTCTTGCATGAAAAGTAACACAGAACCTGGTTAGGATGCATCAGTAGTTGCTGATATGCTGTTGCATGTTTTAAATAGGGATGATTCAATAACCAATTGATTCAATAACCTGCCGTATGAGACAGTGTGTAATATAGACCAAGTCTGCACTGAGAATTCATATCAGAAGAGTGGAAAATAATTCAGAAACAATAAGTACTTTTGTTACAACCATAAAATGCACTCTGTACATTGTAACTATTAACACACCAATAATTCATTAAATAATCTCCATGAAATATAGAATTATTACACATTAAATATTTATACATTCTCTTGTGTATAAACTAAAGCTCTTACAATTCCACAGATTTTTTTTTTGTCCCCCATCCCCAAGTTTCCATATACAAATACATAGATTCATATCATCGTCAGTAAGCTATTTTCAACAGAAAACTGAACCCAGATGTAATGAACAAGAATACAAATTCTATCAAATGTGGATGCTTTAAAAAAACAAAGCTGAGACGTAACTATTGCCACCTTCTGGCCAGAAGTGGCATTGTGTACCACTGTATGAACAATAGCATTCCATAGGTAGCCAGGAAGGAAAAGGAGAAACCAAGTACACTAGTGGCCACTAGGGGGCCTTCCTCCTCTAAAGAGCCGTTTCTTTCAGATCGTTGAGGTTTGGCATTCTCGCGCGAGCGGCTCTGGTAAAGCCGATACCATTCTGCCCACCTTTGTTTGCCATTTGGTCTGGGTACGGTGCGCCCTCGGCCCTATTCAGCGCGGAGACGTGCCAGCTGGACTCGATCTGCCCTGGCAGAGGGTAGTTGTGGGGTTTGCGGCTCTTGGTATTGGGGGTGACGCTGCCTGGTGGGAGCCCTCTGGCCTCGTTCAGGTTCCCTTTGGAAGGGGGGTTAGGGAGGGGCTGGAAGCGCAGTTCTGCCGAGCGATCGGGAGGTGGGGGCTGATTGGACGTAGCAGGAGACGAGAGGTGTAGGAGCTTCCGCAGGGACTTCAGAGGCTGGTTCTGCAACAGGAAAGCAAGATTAATAATGCACGTCTGTGTGCAATCATAAAATACAAAGGAAGTCTTTTTTTTAAAGAAATAATACTATTATTCAGCAAGGATGCATTAAACGGTCAAAAAATACATTTATAATGTATTCGATTTCAAACAGATGTTGTTATCTTTCCTTCATCAGAGAATCCTGATTAAACATATCATGGTTACCACAAAAATATTAATCAGCATAACTGTGATATTAATAAGAAATGTTTTTGAGCGTCAAATCAGCATATTAGAATGATTACTGAAGGATCAGGACTGCTGATATTTCAGTTTTGCATCAGGAATAAATTACAGTTTTATACAGATTAAAATAGAAAACTTATTTAAAATTGTAAAAAAATATTTCACAATATTACTGTATTTTTGATAGATAACGATAACTATAAAGTTTTAATAATTGTTCTAATTCTTTGAGAATTTGTCCACAACACAACTATAACGATAACAATGATGAATCACTTTCAAAACTATTTCTTCCACATGATAAATAATAAAAACTTTGAAAAGCCAATCCTGCTTTAAAGAACTTGGGCATTAAAAGTAGCATGTGCTTAGAATAACCAGAATGTTATTGCATGTCAATATGGATGCTAATATACCATAGTTATCTTTATAGATACGCTGTTGGTGTGAATTTTTTATTTATTTTACCTGAGGCTGCACATTTGTCTGCTTTTCAGGCCAAGTGTTGTCCCTGTCACGATCACGATCCCTCTCACGGTTTCGATCCCGGTCACGCTCCCTGTCCCTTTCCAGATCACGTTCCCGGTCGCGATCTCGGTTGCGGTGACGACTGCTGTGATGAGACGAGGATTTGACTGGTCTTTGTATCACTAGCTGGTCTTGCTGAGCCTCACTAGGAACCTGACACATGGATCAAACCACAACACCAGTGAACTCACCTGAATGCTGGGACTTATGTACAATAAATCTCCTCTCCAAACAAAAATTCACCCATAATCTCGTGCATTAGGCCAGAAAACTGGAAACGTGCTGAAATACTGCCCTTTTAACCAGTTCATGGCATCCAGTTGATTATGATGGAAACAATTTAAGAATTAAAAAAGATTTCATTCCCGTGACCAGCTTTTACAAGTGTATCTGGAGAGCATGGATTTTTGAAGATAGGCAAAGACCTAAGTGTTTCGGGACGTGCCCAGTTTCTGACCCTTTGTACCAAAATGTGCAAGAGTTTGTGTACAGAAGACGGAGAGTTTGTGTGTGGAAACATTTTGACCACTTCTCCTACTCTTTCCCAGGTTCGGAGAATGGTAAATGAGAAAACGTGCATCCTCTTTGAGCAAGTGCTGCTAAAGACGGTTATGGGGTCCATGCTTCTAACAGAACACATGCTGATGCTTTTGCGATGCTAGCAGTAACCTAAGCGATGATGTTTAGTGAGTAAAACACACAGAACCAGATCTGTTACGTCAACATATAAAAACGTCCTGACCTAATATGGTTCAACATTGATTATCAATATTACATTACATAAGACAACACAGTATATTAAACTATGAGTCTGTCTCTTCTACCAGCTATTGAGATCATAAATTAAATGTGATATGTGCAAAGATGCATTAGGCTTAAAGACCAGTTTAAGAACAGTTTTACTTTGGCTGAAAATTCATATTTAATATATTAATTTAAACATCAACACAGCTAAATATCTTAAAATAACACAACAGAACAAATTAATTTTTTTGTGACGTCTATAAAATGATGCACGCATCTGCAACAATAAATGTCTTAAATTATTTTTATTCTGGGTTTTTTCTTAGCAAATACACAAACTACATAATATAATATAAATAATTAAATAAATATAAATACTATATATATATATTATTATTTTTTAATACAACTATATTTTTCAGCAAATAAAATATATGAAATTAATTTGATAAAATAATCAGCATATCATGTAATTAATTTGATTAAAAAGTTGAATATAGATCTGGACCTGATGTTTTGCTCGTTAAAAATGGCTTTGGCAAAAAAGAAAACTCTAAATAGAAACAAAAAAAAATGACAAAAAGACATCCAGTCATAAAACACCTACATTTAGCATGACATGCAATGAAGATGTGTTTATTTGGTAGAGCGGCGTGGTTTTATGTGAGCAATACCATGGGCTGCGGGACAACAGGGAGCACTTTGACAGAAGAGTTATGCTTTAAGCTATTCTTTGAGTTAAAGAGGGGGAAAAGGCTTTTCTTGATGCTCGGGTTCCTTCCTGCGTTGCCGTCCGTCTGCAATATAAGACGCACAAAACCCCAGTGGCTCATTCTATTAACACCAAACATCTTTTGTTGTTGAATACAGCAGATGAACATACGGTCCTCTGGTTCAATATTTGTGGACAGAGCACAGTAGAGGCAGATTCTGCCACACACATGCTGCTCGGGTCTGTAATGGTCTCCATATGGCTATTGTGGGGAAATGCTACAGAAGGCACTGAACTGCACTGAGAGTCTCTGTTGGATTCTGTCAGGCATTCATTGGACAGTGGAACAAGTGGACGGCCTCCTTTTTGGGATGATATGACCATTTCACCTTCCTTTGTGCACTGGTCAACTACTTGTTGATTGAGATGACTGAGTGAACACTATGAGGTGAAATCTTGCCTATTAATTTTAGTGATAAAGAGAGGCAGTATTTTTTCTATCCTAGCCTATATTACCTTTTGTATAAAATAAATCATTTAAGTTCAATGACTCGCAGACAGACATACAAAAACACACAACACAGCAGCTAAGCAACACATATACATACATGTGAAATAACAATAAATAAAAAAAACATACACAGAAAAGGTCTCCTGGCTATTCTTACTGCATTCGAAACCATTTTTGAGAGTTGAAAAAGGGAAATGTAATGAGTAAATGAATGAATAGGACATTCTTACCGGTTGTGACTTCTTCTTTTTCTTCTTTATAGCTCTGAAGAAACCTTGTTTTTCTTTTTGCTTAGGGACCTCTGGTGGGTTCATGACCATGGCCTCTGAATTATTCCTACAAATGTAATTATTAAAAGTTTAATCTCACAAAGAAACACAAAGAGATTCTGGTCATAAAATCAAATAAAAAGATTTTATTTAAGCACATCTGCGGCCTAATTTCTGTAATGGAAATACAAATAATGTCATTGTAATACAGTAATAAAAATCCAGACAACTTTTTAAATAACATCAGTATATGTAAGATTTTTTTTAATAAAAAAATATATATAAAAAATTCAAACCAAATTTTTCACTATATTATTTACACTATATGGACAAAAGGATACAGTTATGGGGCTGTGTTTTAGGATTTGAGATGGGCCCCTTACTTTCAGTGAAGGGAAATCTTAATGCTTCAACATACCAGGACATTTTGGACAATGCTACGCTTCCACCTTTTTGGGAACAGTTTGGAATTTTCTATTCCAGCATGACTATGCCATGACTGTACCATCCATACCACAACCCTATTGCACACCTTTGGAATGGAGACTGCGAGCCAGGCCTTCTCGTCCAACATCAGTGTCTGACCTCACAAAATGCTCTACAGGATGAATTGGCAAAAAATCCCAGAGAAACACTTCAAAATCTTGTGGACAGACTTCCCAGAACAGAGGAAGCTGCAAAGCTATTATAGCTGCAAAGGGGGAACCAACTCCATATTAATGTCTATGCATTTAGAATGTGATGTTACTGTGTAATGGTCAGGTATCCCAATATTTTTGTCCATATAGTGTATGTTAGTGAAATATGACAAACATGTTTTTGACATCTTTTATTAAGATTCACCCTATTACATAAAACGCGAACAGCAATATTATCAGAGACCTGGCTAATGAAAGCAATTGCTATCATCAGTGAATTTAAAGAGAACGTAAAGTGGGCATGCTTTATTATTTTCTGCACGCACTGTTGCCAGACATTTCAAAACCATCAAAGACACTAATTATTTTAACATTGAAGTTCTGTTCATTTCATTTGAAGCCAAATATTTCATGTTGTCACTTCCAGCTTAACAAAGCATTTCATCTTACAGCCATGGTATATGCGTACAGAATAATTTATTTGTCTAGATCGAGCGTGTGCTGCCTTAACAAGCATGTTCGCTCACCAGGGGTCGAAATTGGTCTGACGTTTGGGGTGGTTTGTCATGGCTGTGCTTTCTGCCGCCACCGCTGGCACTCTGCTCTGCCCGGCACTCTCATGGAACGAGTTGTCAGGTCGAGGAGAAGGGACTGCACAAAAGGACAGAACAAATCAAAGCTAGAATATCAAAGCTTAAGTCAAACATTCTTACCACACATATAAATACATATACATTTTCTTTAAATATAATACTTTTATTCAGGAAGGACACATTAATGTTATCAAAAGTTACAGTACAGACATTTATAATGTTACAAGAGGTTTCTATTTCAAGTAAATGCTATATTTTAAAACTTTCTATACATTAGAGAATGCTAAAAAAATTATCATGGTTTTTAAAAAAAATATTAAACAGCAAATCTGTTTTCAGCATCATAATAGTAAGATAATAATACAAAGAAATGTTTCTTGAGCAGCAAATCAGCATATTAGAATGATTTCCGAAGGAACATATGACAATGAAGACTGGAGTAATGATGCTGAAAATTCAGCTTTGCCATCACAGGAATAAATTACATTTTAAAATGTATTAAAATATAAAGCAGTTATTTGAAATAATATTTCACAAGATGTCAAGTACATTTTTTGGGTACCTCTGTAAAAGCTTCCCACTCTGCGAGGCATCGAGTCACTGTAGATGATTCTGTTCTCCTTGGATGAGGTTCCATCCTCCATATGAGCGTCATGGTACATCCCAGCCTGAGTTACAAGAGGACGGTCACACTGCAGGATAGTATAAAACAGTAGTTCCTACAACTTACTGTACATACTGTCTTACTGTATTTGCTTGGGGAGAAAGGAATGATTAAGGAAGAGAAGCAGCAGTGTGAAAGAGAGGTTAAACTGACAGTTCACCCAAAAATGAAATTTCTGTCATCACTTACTCAACCTCAATATCATTCCAAACCTGTGTAACATTCTTTCTCCAATAGAACACAAAAGAAAAGACTTTTGACTGTGGAATTTTTGTTTATTCTGCTATTGTAATCAATACATCATGGAACATATGCCACATATGCAAAGTCGTATGGATCACTTTTTGAAGTTTGAAAGCTTCAGTCCCTACATTGTAATTTCATGTAAATAATATGGAAATAGTCTTTAAAATTTAATTCACAGAAAAAAGAAAGTCGAATTTAGAACAACATGACAACGACAGAAATTTCATTTTTTTTTGGGTGAACTGTCCATTTATCTGAGATATTTAATGCTAAAGACATGAGCTAGCAGTTAATGTAGTGACATGAACATTTACAAAACATCCATATCAATGGTCTGAAAGCTAAATGTGAATTGCTTTTATGATCAATGCATTAAAAAACAAAGATAAGATGAGGCATGAAAAACAGTAGCAACTAGTGAGTGTTTAAGTGGACGCGTTCTGAGGGTCCTGTTGAGACCACGGACCTCGTTTTTTGGGCGTTGTGAGTGGAAGGAAGCTGTGTTGTCCCTCGTAGAATCTTTAATCGGGGGGCGAGAATGAGGCTTCTCTTTGGGAGACTGGTCATTCTGCAGACATAAACACACAGCAAAATAAGCAGACACAGGGAGTGTGCATGTAATAATCAGATAGAACAAAACAAAATGCATGAATGCAGGATGCAGCAGAGCCGTATCTTAAATTAGATCACATACACACATGCAAACACATCACAAATCGAATCTCCTGAAATTATTACAGTGAACAAGCATCATTTGAAATATTGCTGTTTGCGAATGGTAGAGAATTCGTAATATTCAGACAAAGATGAACAGATGAATAAGAGGGCATCCTTGCTTGGATAGAAATATTCAAATGCTGATCACAGGAACCAACAGAGTGCATTTTAGCGAGATCAGCACCTAATATGCTACAGGACACAGAGATAAAACGAGAGCAGGTCACTGACCCTGCTCAGATCTTGCGTGAGTTCTTCTCGGGAGGAACTGGTGTTGTGGTGTGGGAGTGTGCGATGCTGGAGCTGCGGCGAGAGGAGTTGTAGGCTGCTGGCACGTGTTGGCACTCCCTGCCCGACCACCAAATTCGCCTCCTGGCCGTGCGGCCGGTGTCGGTCTCTCCGCACGTACATGGAGTGGCGATGAGGTCGCTGCTGCGAGGAAAACGGGCTGGTGTAGCCGAGACCATAAGGATAGGATTCATGCGGGGAGGGCAGATTGTGAGCATGGCTGCCCCCTGCTCCCGCGGCCCTGCTTGGGTCCAGCGTGTCCGAAGCCTTCGGTTCATCCGGCGTCTTTTTCCGACTCGAAGAACGTCGTGAGTCCAGAGTGCCCTCTTCCAGACGCGTGTTCCCCCGGCTGCTGGGACTGTGACCCTGCCGCTCCGCCCCAGCGTGCCGTTCACCTCTCGGGCTCCCAGGAGCTGCGTTTAGATCCAGACAGCTAGACGGGAAGTAGCGGGAGCCTGAGCCCGATCCCACCATGGGATCATCCAGATGGAGTCGTGTCTCGGTCAGATTGCTTACGGACTTGGTGTCGTTCAGCGCTCCGTGGCTCTTAGACAGGCTGAGGAAGGACGAGGAGCTTTTGGAGGAGGATGTGGAAGGCATGGATCCGTGCGAAGATTCCATGTAGTTATGGCGACTGTGCTTGTCCCCAGACTGCAGCGTGCTGGTCTTCCCTTCCAGGAAGGACGAGTGGCGGCCTGGTTTGGATGACTTGAGGTACTTGCCGGTAGAGGTGTCCCCTCCCACAGAGGCAACTCCAGCTTTAGGCCCCAGGTTGAAATCAAATTCGGTCTTTCCCTTTGTGTCTTTGGGGCTGAGTAGGTGGGGAAGGTTGTTGTTGGCCAAGTCTTTGCTGCAAGAGGCCGAGCGGCTCAGGGTCTGGGCCTGGTAGCTCTTGGGGTGTAGTGTGGGACTCAGGGTGGATGAGGTCAGCATGTTGCTGCCGTTCAGGAAGCCGTCGGTGCTCCGGTGGAGGTCCTCATGGCGCGGTAGAGACGAGCAGTCCTTGCTGTTAGCGTGCCGGTGACCTGAACTCTTACTTCCGTGGCTCCTGCAGGGATAAACACAAAATATTTATATTCTGGACATTCTTGGAATTAACTTCAAGAGGTGCAACCTGAGGTGATTTTAAAACAGCATTGAGGGAGCTCCCATGTATGCTGGACACTTGTTTGGTACTATTCATTTAAATCAACTGCATTGTAAATTTTAGTTTTGTACATAAATTCATGTAAATTCTTCATCTTCCATTGATGTTAAGTCTTTGTGTCTTGCCTTCATAATATGTCTTCCCAATTTTCAGTTAAAAAAACTTAACTTCTGTCTAATAATTTTGGTTGCCATCTTATCCTGGTTCACTGTTGTTATTATTAATTAAAACTAAAACTATTACAAATTGTTTGAATAGGGCTGAAATAAAAAAAAATCTAAAGATAAGATGAAAAAATGTAACTTATAAAACTTAAACAAAAATTAGACATATTTCTCTGGCAACTAACCAGAGTAAATTTGTCTAATTAAAGTTAAACAGATATATTAAAAAAAGTGCATCACAATTTCTAAAATTTAAACTACAATTTAAATGAAAACTGAACATATAAAAATAATAGGCAATTCTAAATATTTTAAAATACTATAATAGTATACTGTACTATACTGTACTGTAGTATAGTACACTGGATGTTATTCTAATTGTGTAGGTGTTTTTTCTGTAATGTTTCAAAGTCATATGCTTACTTTAAAACAACCTTGAGCTTGGAAAAGCTTCTACAAAACTAAACTGTAATTTTGTTATAAAATACGTTCTCACATTTCAGTGGCAGTGTAGGTTATTCAGGTTCACTTTCTGAAAAAGACTTTCTGTGGCACTTTTAAAACATTGCTCAACATGTCAGCTTCTGTCTCAACCAATGGTGCAGGGCAATCTGTTTATCTGAACAATGCTTATTCAGGGGCGAAGTCAATATGCAGTACTGATTAAAAAACAATTGTCATTTTGGGCAGTTCCGTTTGCTGCCACTAGTGGCTCAGAAATCACACATTTCACCCTTAACCGAGGTTCTAGTAGCAGCTATTACTGACCGGCTGGGTATGGTGTTGTCTCCGTGGTATGGTTTTCTCTTTGAGGAGCGAGGTGGGGTGGGTGATGGGACAGCTGGCCGCTCTGGCCCTCTAAGGCCCTGAAAAACTGGGTGGTTCAGACACTGTTCTGTCAGAAAACGTTCGGTGGGGTTCAGGCACAGCAGGTTCTGACAGTGAAAAGAGAATGAGGAGAGTCATGCCACACTAGGACAATAAAACCTCATTCACATTCAGTCTTTAATAACACTTTGCACTTGGGGGTGATATGACATATGCAGTTTATTTTAAAATAAATCAACACCAAATATATCACAACTGCTGGGATTTGAAAGGCAAATACTGTTCTCTAATGAATGTTGCAGACTGTTTTACCTTCATTAAATCCAACATGAGTCCATTGATGATGCCCAGGTACCTTCGATCAAGCGTTTGAGGATGACTTACAGAAGGAAACTGTAAAAAAAAAGCACATACATATATACTAAAAGAAAGAGGGAGGACTAAAGAATAAAGCTGAACATTTGCATATTTCATAACAAATATGGAATACTTGTGATTGATTAATTGCATTAAGAGGTGAAAGCATTACAACAGGCTGAAGCATTACAATTAATAAATAGAAACTTAAACTGAAATCAAAATAAATTAAACCTAAATAGTAATATTTTAAAAAACAAGAAAAGTAAATAAAATTACTAAAAAATTAAACTAAAAATGAAAACTAAAAATATAAAAGTAAAAGTAAAAGCTAATTAAAATATTAATTAAAACAATAATAGTATATAAATCCAAGACATCAACACTGCATGACATCAAATACAGGTTGACTGTTTTAGTAATGGGCTAGTTTTCTTTCTTTAACCAAATCTGCAAGATAATAAAATAAATAAATAAATAATAAATAAAAAAAAACACATCAATATTTCATATCCATCTAACTATTTACTTGGTAAGTAGCAGTGTAATTAGCTAAATAATGTATTGTCAGATAGTCATTACTACAAAATAAACCCCTACAGGGTGAAAAGCAATGCAAAAATGGCTAAGAATCATTTGCAGATGTCACTTGTGGAATCAAAGTACAGTTTAAGGTGTGACTTGAATGTCCAAAAGTGTCCAAATACTTTTTGAGGCTATGTATGTGTGAGTGTATGCGCATGTGTGTGAATATTATGTACTGTGATCAGCCCTGTCAAGGCAAAGCCAGTTGTGTTTCACACTGGCAAATAGCAATACATGAGTCATAGGCAGCCACTTATTCAGAATACTGGCATCCGTGCCATAGGAAAGGAGAGCAGAGAAGAGGCGATGAGAGGAAAGCACAGAACAGAACAGGACAGGAGTGAATTAGAAGACAGGTCCTTACTCTTAGTCCGGCGAAACGAGGGTTGTTGTAGAACAGCTTCATCTGCTCTGGTGGTAAGGGGCCCAACACCTTCTGAATGGTGAAGAGCTGGTCGATTTCACTCTCTCCCGGAAACAGGGGCTGCCCATCACTCAGTTCTCCCAAAATACACCCCACCGACCACATGTCCACCGCCTTCCCATATGGAGCTCTGCGAGAGCCAAGAAGACAAAAATAAGTCAAGAACTGACCTTCATTGGAGTCTGACATTTCCTTTAAGATAATTAAGAAAATCAATTACACATAATTAAATGTACATGTAGTTAAAATATAAACATATCAGTAAAATAGTTGAATTATTTGTATCTTTTATTGACCGATGCAAGACAAAAAACTGTTTTCAGAAGAAAATGTATGGTGTTTGCCCTTGCAAAAGCTGCCATCACAGTGTTAGAATGATGAAGGTGGTTGCCAGGGTGTTGCCATGCAGTTGTTATGGCATTCAGAGGGGGTTTTAGCGTGGTACTTTGTGATTGCTAAGATGTTTTGGGTGGTTTCAAATGATGTTTCTAGGGTGTTGCTAGGTGGTTGCTAGAGTGTTCTGGGTGATTTCTACGGTGTTGCCAGAGTGTTCAGGGTAGTTTTTAAAGTGTTTATTTGCATGTCCTATGGTGTTCAGGGTAGTTTCCAGGGTGTTGCTATGATACTCAAGATAGGTTTGGGACAGGAAAGCAGAAGTCTTTGATAATTTTTGACCCTACACTATGTGGCTTCTAGGGTCTGCTGGCTGTTTTTTAGGAAGTTGCTATACAGTTGTTATGATGTTTAGAGGATTTCTTAGAATGTTGTTTTGTGATTGCTAAGGTGTCCAGGGTATGGTTTCTAAGGTGTTTATAGGTGGTTGCTAGGGTGTTGCTATGCAATTGCTATGATGTTCAGAGGGTGTTTCAGAATGTTTCTTTGTTGTGGCTAAGGTCCTGAGTGGTTTCTATGGTGTTGCTTTGTGGTAGTTAAGTTGTTCAGGGTGGTTTTTAGGGTGTTGTTATGTGGTTGCTATGACCTCAACAGAGCCCACCCCAAGTCACTGTAATATTCGGTGGCTGTATTACAGAAACTTCCCGTCTTAATTCTTGATTTAAAGTGATAGTTCACCCAAAAATAAAAATTCTGTCATTATTTACTCACCCTCAAGTTGTTCCAAACCAATATGAGTTTCTTTCTTCTGTTCAACACAAAAGAAGACATTATTAATAATGTTGGTAACCAAACAGTTGCTGGTAGACATTGACTTCCATCATATTTTTGCCATATTATGGAAGCCAATGGCTACCGTCAACTGTCTGGTTACCAGCATTATTCAAAATATCTTCCTTTGTGTTCAACAGAAGAAATAAATTGATAAAGGTTTGGTGAGTAAATTAGGTTGAGTAAATGATGACTTCATTTTTGGGTGAACTATCCCTTTAAGATTTGAAAAAGTTATATTTCCTAAGTGAAATTGCCATGGTTACTAAAAAGACAGGATATGATTCTAAGTTTGGATGTTTCTGAAATACAGGTCCTTAGTTCCCTAAATATAGCCCTTCAAAAGGAAATCAAAGGATCTGAAAGGCAAAAATCATACATTTGACAACGTAGAAAAGTAACAGCAATACTTTTCAAAGCAGCATGATTTGAATGTCTGTAGCACAAACGGTGCAGGACGAGTGTCATGCTTAGGGTTAAAGTTTTGTTCAAATCCTAACTAAGTTTGAACAATGACCACTGAAAATGAAAGAGTGATGAGAAGAGCTGCATGCAGAGACAGAGGCAGATACATCTCAATAAATTAGAATGTTGTGGAAAAGTTCATTTATTTCAGTAATTCAACTCAAATTGTGAAACTCGTGTATTAAATAAATTCAGTGCACACAGACTGAAGTAGTTTAAGTATTTGGTTCTTTTAATTGTGATGATTTTGGCTCACATTTTGAGCCAAAATCATCACAATTAAAAGAACTAAAGACTTAAACTACTTCAGTCTGTGTGCATTGAATTTATTTAATACACAAGTTTCACAATTTGAGTTGAATTACTGAAATAAATGAACTTTTCCACGAAATTCTAATTTATTGAGATGCACCTGTAGACATAAAACTGAGACACAAATCTTTGCACTAACACACAGCAAGAGGGAGGGAGAGAATATTTGTGTGGGAGGAATTTAAATGGTGAGAGTTTCAAAAAATGTTCCACCGCATTCATCTAGTCTAGTGGCACACACTAGAAAATAACGCTTCAATGGCGACAAGGACAAATAATCATGCACCGCACTCTTGATGTCACATCTAATGGTTATATCAAATCAACATTTAAAAAAAAGGATGTGCCCTCAATGAACATTAGTGATTCTATTTGAGGAGAGTTTGATTTTTCATGCTTTTAGCTTTACTGAGGAAGACATTTTTTTTTTACATGTTTTAGTTATTGTGTCTCTGGAAACAAGGTATACTATAAATCACCTTGAAAAACAGAACAGGAAGTACAGATATGAGGACTTACCCCAGGAGCAGTTCAGGTGAGCGGTACCACCTGGTCGCCACATACTCAGTGTAGTTAGCATCGCTGCCTTCAGAGAGATTGCGGGCAAAGCCTGCAGGGTTGGCCAGCCAGGATAGAAAGATGTCAAGTCAAGTCAAGTCAAGTCACCTTTATTTATATAGCGCTTTTAACAATACAGATTGTGTCAAAGCAACTGAACAGCATTAATTAGGAAAATAGTGTGTCAATAATGCAAATTGACAATAGTAAACACTAATTTTCCAGTTAAAGACAGTTCATCATTGAATTCAGTGATGTCTTCATTCAGCTCAGATGTAGGGAGAAGAGCAAAGAGAAAGGGTTTCTGGCATGAGCAAGACTGCGCACAACATTCAGAGATCTTAATTAATCTTCTCTAAAAATAAAAGTCTTAGAGAGAAGCCTGTTGAGTGAGTCATGCTCAATTTCCATGGCATTCAGTGTGGAGGCAAAATTTAACCCTGAGTGAATATATACAAAATATGATTTATCAGGTACTGAGATGATAGCCTGTGTTTTGATTGTATCTTCTAGAGTCACAATACTACCAACTAGTGTTGGGGAAGCTACTTTGAAACTGACTGTCAAGCTATAAGCTACTCATAATTGAAATTACAGTCAAGTTATTATTATTTTTTAAATGTTGCTAACAAAGAGTAGCTAACTATATTTAAGCTACTGGTCAATTTAATGGGCAAAGTTAAGGGGATTGGATTTTGTTTTCCCTTAATAATAAAAACCTTCATTTAAAAACTGCATGTTGTGTTCACTTGTGTTATCTTTTACTAATATTTAAATTTGTTTGATGATCTGAAACATTAAAGTGTGACAAATAAGAAATCAGGAAGGGGGCCAACAGTTTTTCACACCACTGTATATAACAATATTGAATATATTATTATTATTATAACAAATATTTATGTGTATATTGTTCATTTATGAAATTATATCATCATATCATTTACAATTATATCACCTTAATTTATCATTTATAAAAATATATTTATACGTAATGTGTCCATATATTGCTCATTTTACAATTATATCATTTTAATTTATAAAACATTTATATGTGTACTAGTGTTTAAATTAATTTAAAAATATATAAATTAACAATACAGTGTGTTTTTAAACACATTAACACACACATTACATATTATAAATTATGATGATAGAATTGTAAATAAGATGATAAACATTTTTTTTCTGTAACCAGATCAGCATTTATCTAGCATAAAAACCAATGACAACATAGCATATAAAAAACTGTAATGAACAGCAGCATTCATTAAATCTATTATGTTGTATAATTCTATGCCAAAATAATCTTATATAAAATAAATTGTTATATTTTGTATGTTGCTACATAAAACTACATATAAATGTGTTTTTTCCCCCAAAACTAGACAATGTTGTGCAAGCATTAAAAATAGAGATGTTGGGTTGTCGCACAAAACTACACTACTAATTGTAAAATAGTTACTAAAAACACTGAAGTACTGTCACGCTATAATGAAAAATGAAAATTATAGTAGAGTTGCTACTTTGAGTAAGTTACTCCCCAACACAGCTAATGAAGTCATTTTCTGTGATAGTTCAGCAGTCTTCTTTTTTATTTGGAATTTATTTGGAATGACCCAAAATCAATTCAAAATTTGCATTCCAGAGAATAAGCGCTGCCACTCAAATCTTTGCAACAGTGTGATTAGGACAAAAACAGTTTAATTCCCTTCCACTCAAATCCAATTTCAGCTCATTATTTTTTTGTTTTCAGATGTCACTGTGAGACTCATGACGCCTGGAAAGGAGACCAAGCATTCAGCGAGAGAGATCAGTGTGAATATGGGGGTGGAGGGTCCTGAATCAGACGAGTGAAAGTCTTTGCTCACCAAAATCACACAGCTTCAGGATATCATTGGAGCTGATGAGGAGATTTTCAGGCTTGATATCTGCAAATTAGATAAAAAGGGATGGATATTTACTTAGTGAGCTCAATTTGTGTTGAAGACTCCATTTTGTACACAAATATTACACAATCAATTAATAAGAAATGTTGATTGAAATTGCATAAAAATAGATACAATACATTACTGATGTTATCAAAGTTGATTCTAATTACTGTTAAATCACAACTACCTTAAATACTTAATTAAAATACAATCATATTCAGTTTTAAAACAGAGTTCAACTCACATTCAATAAAATAGACACACACACACACACACACACACACACACACACATATATATATATATATATATATATATGAATTATCAGTAGCTATTACTACAGTCTTCAGTGTTGCATACCTATCTACATACACATATATATACACAGACAGACAGACAGACAGACAGATAGATAGATAGATAGATTGTCAAATAAATTAAGATTGCAATCTATAAACAGCACAGAGTTTGTCATACCCCTGTGAACGATCTCATTTTTGTGGCACCAGTGAATAGCTTTGATCAGCTGAAAGATGTAGCTTCGTACTTTATCAGGTGGCGCACCATTAGGCAATTCCTCCAACAACTCAAGCATATTCTGAAAAATACAGCAAAACACAAGCAAGACACTATCAACATGTCATCTCAACTACAATTCAGACCAGTACAAATGAATAAGAAAGTAAAAGAAGTGTTTTGAGCTGACCTTCTCCACATATTCAAACACTAGATAGAGTTTTCCCCGTCGACGGAAAGCCTCCTTCAGTTCTACGATGTTGTCTTGCTTCAGGGTACGGAGCATCTTGAGCTCTCGTAATGTCGTCTCTTTAACTTCCTCATTCTCTGTGGGAACACACAGGGGGTTAGGCAAGATTGAAAGGGGGCTTGTGTTTTCTTGAGTAAAATGAATGTGTTATGGAGCTCTCAAAGTAAAATGACATTATATAAGGCACTTCTCACAAACCTTTTTAAAGTATTATAGGTGTAAATCACATGTCTTTTTGTTGTGAAACTCTAAAATATCAACCATCTATCATCAAAATTAATTAGCATGAAAAGAAGCTACAAATGTATCTAACATGATGACATCATTTGGATCCTTTCTATAGTATGATGGAAAGTCAATCTCATGCCATTTTCTTGAAAGCTCAACCATTAATCTCTGTTAGCAACTGTTATTTTATTTAGGAGCCAAGCACCAAAGGTGCAAAGGCACCTATTGTATCCTTTGGCATTCTTCTTCTTCTTCTTCCATTTTGGAAGTCTACGGCAGCCCATAGAACCGCTTGCGGGAAAGTTATAAAATTTGGCACACAGATAGAGGATAGTCTGATCTATCTATAGCAATCACCATAGCAAGTTTGGAGTCTCTAACTCAATCCCTCTAGCGCCACCAACTGTCCAAAGTCCAAAGCGTTGTGATTTAGCCTTTAAACAACTTTTGCAAATATATTCAAAACCACTCTAGGAAATTCTGAAATATAGGTCGTTGGCTATATAGAAGTGCCCAAATGTCAAAATTTTGATAGTAAGTGGCAAAAAAAATGCAAGTCAGAAATGGGATTTTTTTTGTTCTCATAGATATGTCTATAACTCCAAAACGAAATGAGATATTTTCACCAAAGTTGACACACATACAGTATGTATGGACGCACTCTGAGGACAAAAAATGTGGTGGGACTGTGGCTCTTGGTGGCACTATAATTGAACAAAACATTAAATTGCCATTAACTACAATACAGTGTTCTGATATAAAATGCAATACTTTATGAATGCATTGGTGTACCATTACGAAACTCTGTATTTGTCATCAGCACCATGCCTGAAGGTTCTCAAAAGATTTCAAGACAACTTGACTAACTCAAGAAACAAGACTAACTTAGTTGGCTCTTGGTGGCACTATAATTGAACAAAACATTAAATTGCCATTAACTACAATACAGTGTTCTGATATAAAATGCAATACTTTATGAATGCATTGGTGTACCATTACGAAACTCTGTATTTGTCATCAGCACCATGCCTGAAGGTTCTCAAAAGATTTCAAGACAACTTGACTAACTCAAGAAACAAGACACATTTTTATAATCACATTTTTAAACAATGGTTATAGCTTTTGATTGATTCAGCCTATTGTCATGAGACAGGTCTTAATAGATTCCTTGGGTGACACCAAGAACATATAATATTGCCATAGTTGGCCAAGCTTCCTGTCCGCCATTTTGATTTTCTGTGAAAACCTACTTTTTTGAACTCCTCCTAGACCATTGGTCCGATTTTCGCCAAATTCGAATCAGATCTTGTTCAGGCCATGCTGGCGAATAGTTATAGATTTCATGTCGATAGACAAAACCGTTTTCGTATACCGCATAAACGAATTTGATGGCATGATGCATAAATGCCTCTGAGGCTGTATCTCTGAAATACTTTGCCCTATTGACACCAAACGTTGCATGTGTCGTTGTCACCTTACTCTGACCACACCACAATGACACCTATTGGACAACAGTTCTAAATCTTTCAATAATATTACTAGAGACTGTATCTGATTTTTCAGCCATTTTGCCTAAAATCATAAATATGTCCTTAATTGGTCATTGATGCAGGTGGTCTGATGCTCCCAGCCATGCTGGCATGTCATATCTTGCTTTTTTTGTGCTTGTCCCCTTAATTGATGTTTTTAGCTATATTTACGGGTTCAAGCGAGTAGCGCTAATATTTTTCTTCCCTAAAACTGATCGTGCAGACCAAACCGTAAGGCCTAGAGAGCTGAAACTTGGTCAGATGCTAGTAGTATTGTTCACTGCTCGAATCCAAAAACTCGCTCCAATCTGCCTATCGGGGGCGCTACAGCTCACAACTCCTACACCATTTGTCATAGACTCAATTGTCTTATATCATTGGAATCCATGGCTCAAAACAAACAAAATGGCTGATTTCCGGTATGCTAATATTTCCGCCATTTTGAATTATATCTAAAACCTACTTTTGTGGACTAGTCCTAGGTTTTTCGCCCGATCGAAACCAAACCAGAGCAGAAATATTCTCTAAAGAGTGAATATCAATAATTATCAAAAATGTTTATGTTATGTTATGTGTGTTATGATAATCATGACCTGAGGTTACTTGCACAGTTTCACCGCAGCGCCACCTAGTGGTCTGGAGATATGATAGATGGTAATTTTTACTTATAACTTCTGAACACTTTTGCCAGAAATCACAAGACTTGTCTATTTAGATTCAGAGCAGCATACGGAGTCGAACGATACCCAATTTTCCCATGACGGCCATTTTGGGTGTCGGCCATTTTGAATTTTTGCCGAAAAATAGTATATTTTATGAATGTATTAACATATCGCTACGTAACTCGGTATGTGTCTTTGGCACGATGCCCTGAAGGTACTCAAAAGGTTGGACCCCAGCGCCACCTTGTGGTCAAAAATTATAATGAAATTTCAAAAATGCTAATAGCTTTTGAAGATTTTGTTCTATTGTCATGAGACTTGTCTTGATAGATTCCTTGGATCATACTGAGAACATCAATACCAATTATGCCATAATCGGCCAAATTTCCTGTCCACCATTTTGATTTTCTTTGAAAACATATTTTTTCGAACTCCTTCTAGACCTTTGGTCTGATTTTCCCCAAATTTCATCTTCATCTTTGGGTTCTTGCCGACAAAAAGTTATTACTGTACTGTACTGTACTGTAACCTCACACTGACCACACCATGACAATCTGATAATAGTGCCACCTATTGGTGAAAAGTGATAAACCAATAAATTATATTACTAGTGATTATATTTATGATTTTTCAGCCATTTTGACTAAAATCATCCTAAAATGGCTTTCTTTACTCATTGTTGCAGTTGATCTGATGCTCCATGCCATGCTTAGCTTCTCATTTTGCCTCTGTTGTGCTTGGCCCCTTAATTGCTGCTTGCAGTTATTTTTAATTTTATTTTTAAAAACTAAATATTTTATTCAATTTAATTGTAAATTTCATAAAATTTGTCCATATAATTTTGATGTTTATTGTTGGAAAATGAAAATCACACAAATCAGGTTAAAAAATATATTCACATGTCCCAACTTTTTCAAATAGCAAACTTAATACAAAATAGGGCTGCACGATAAATCGCATGAGATTGTCATGCGCATCTCGTTAGTAAAGCCGGTTCTGTGATTAGTAGTAAATCTCCATCACGTGCTTTCAGATGGAGCGGCATTTAATACATAGAGCCGTAGATCACTGACAAACTATGCAATATCGCGTTCATAATCGAAGGCGATTCATCTGCGATTTTGAACGCGATAATGCGTAGCTTGTCAGTGATCTACGCTATGTGTATTAAATGCCGCTCCATCTGAAAGCACGTGATGGAGATTTACTACTAATCACAGAACCGGCTTTACTGATGAGATGCGCATGACAATCGCATGCAATTTATCGTACAGCCCTAATACAAAATAATTTTGCTGACCATTACTCATTTTTCAATCCTTGGGTAAAGTGTATATACCTAATAACTATCCAAACAGAGCCTTGGAGTCTGTGATTAATAATGTGAATTACTTTGTGTCATGGTAACCACAACAGTATTGTAGTTCATTTCAAAGTCTCCAACCAGTAAATTGCATGGATGAAAAAAGCAAGCATTTGGTTGTAACAGTCTTTTACCTTCGCTGTCCTTGAACTTCTTAATGGCCACAAGCTCTTTTGTCTCCTGCAAAACAGATATGTAAATCAGTTTGAGCTCTTTATCAAAAACAAGCTTTATTAGCAAGCTGTTAATGGACTCAAGATGTAAAACAAACAACTGGGAGTTGCACAAAAGGACTGAACCTAGAAGAACTACTTCCCGGCTGTATCAACGGGGTATTTTTCATGACAAAGCCCCTGACAATGCTTCTGTTAAATGGAACAATGTGCCTGTTTTCAAAGAATAGATAATTTTATATTCGGATGTCTAATTATTAGGCGGAAGTATTGCATGCACACATTTAGCCATGTGTTCACCAGCCCTTGCGGTGGAGAAATGTTCACCCACAGTCAGTCACACAGAGACCCTGTCATCTGTGGTGTTGGACGAAGCCTCTTTTGACTATCTTTGTCATTCAGAGCTCTCAATTTGCACTATAGCACCTTTCACAGCGAAAGCATTAGATCACACTAGCTGCTAAAACCCATCCATTTATCACAATTCTGCACAGTAAACACTCACTCAGGACAAATTTCAGCTAGTATTATAGACTATAGTGCCCAGATAAATGGATATTAAACCATTATTCTTCTGGATTCTGTAGCCTGTCTATTTCAAAGGCAGTATTATAACTGTCCGCTGCTAACAAGTCTGATATAAAGGGAAACATCTAAATTGGGAGAATTATTTGGCACAGTTAAAGTGTGTGTTATAGGTTGTGCTATACAGCAAACACATTCAATAAGTGCTGACAGATTCACTTGCAAAAAGGTTTTACCATGTTTTGTTTTTTTTGCACACATATATATATAAAATGTACACACACATTACAAGTTTGGGGTCAGTAAGATTTTTAAAAATAAATTAATACTTTTATTCAGCAAGGACTGATAATGTTTCAAAAAATTTCTATTTTAAATAAATTATGTTCTTTTAAACTTTCTATTCACCAAAAAATTGTATAGATTTATAAGATATAAGAATTGTAAAGATATATAATATATATAATGCTAAGCAGCACAGCGGTTTTCAACATTGATAATAATAAGAAATGTTTATTGAACACCAAATCAGCATATTAGAATGATTTCTGAAGGATCTTGCGACACAGGAGACTGGAGTAATGTTATAATATTTTACAATATTACAGTTTACTGTATTTTTGATCAAATAAATGCAGTCTCAGTAAGCATAAGAGACGTCTTTCAGACACATAAAAACGAAAACAAAAAAACCTTAAAACCCCAAACTTCGCAAGTACCACACAATTTCCATCTGATAACATCACTGTACCATGGTACCACCACATTATGTTTTATAAGGCTTATCAAGTCAAAAAGCAACAACAATGCACAGTCAAACAATTTATTGTTTGTAAACTCTTGGACAAAATCCATAAAATGCCCAAACTCTAAAGATTTCAGCACACCCCTGAGGCCAGCATTTGAACCAGCTGCAATTAGACTGAAAGAAAATCTCAACTGAAACTCCTACAACACGGCTGGATCCAGGTGCAAGCTCTACCTGACGCCTCCGGTGCAGTAGCAAGTGCCTTGAAGGCTTCCTCATACTTCTCCTCCGCAGTGGAACTACAAGTCATTTTCACTTTAAGCACAGCTTGTCATGAACAGATATGATTCATGATCAGAAATGATTAAGAGGCACAGCATGCATGTGGGGCTGGATAAGGGAGTAGCTTTTCTATATTGAGTTACCCAGACCCCTCCATGGTCTACTTGCAGAACAACCTGGCTGCTTTAATTACAGTGCACGGTCAGGCCTACCTAGGCTTTTAGTATAAGACTAGACTAGTCAGACCCAGTGTTGCCAGATTGGATGGATGATTTCCAGGACAAAAACTCACCAAAACCCACCCACTCCAACAAAAAACGCCCAACTGTCAAAATAGTGTGATAGAATGTTATTGCCATGTCAATCAAGGTTGATAAGGACCATTTTTAACTCCTTAAAACAAAATGATGATGACACAATAATAAAAAAAATAGATACATTTCCCAGGAAAACGGATCAAATCAGGGCCAATGCATTAAAGAGGGTTATCAAATATGACTAAAATATGCAGGCAGACACTATTTTAAAATGACAATCAAAGATGAAGAGCTTGAAAAGAGTCCGCACATTCAAACATTAAAGCATCACAAGCGAGATGAGAACGATATGTGCAATTTACTGAATAAAACAAGGCAAACGTTTCGGTCACATGTTGACCATTTTCATGTTGCACATATCGTTCTCATCTCGCTTGTGATGCTTTAATGTTTGAATGTGCGGACTCTTTTCAAGCTCTTCATCTTTGGGTAACCTTTTTTGGTCCACGCACTTCAGTTGGATTTTTTTGAAGGCGCGGTGAGTCTCTGGCTGCTAAAATGACAATCAAGAAATTAACCGATACCCTTGAAAAAACTGTCAACACTTTTCAATGTCAACAGTCAGAATAAGCCAATTTAAATGCAAAAAGTGCCCAATATAAGTGATCGGAATTAGCAGGTATTTCACAATTATTCATGCACACACCATGACACTCAAAACTGTGTCTTTCATTGATACATACTGTACGATAAGCCGACAATAAAAAATTAACAACAAAAATAATGCGCTTACCTTCGTGTCGCACTTTAACTTCAGACAGAACTAGAGGAAGTCTTTTGTGAAGTACATATTGTAGAACATAATACAGAACTTTGCACAGTCAAAACTAATCAAGTCCAAAAAATCCTTTCAAAGATATTCCAGTCTTCGGATCGTATAGCCATGTTCAGTTTCAATTTTGATTAAATTATTCGGCCGTGCTCTGATTTCATGTCATCTCCCTCCACAGGTGTAATTCACGTTTTGAGAGTGGAATCACTCTCCCACTCTTTACTGTGTAACTTTTACTGTAACTTTAGGCCACTCTGGCATTGTGATCCACAATGATACATTCAAAATCTGATTTCTTATCACACTAAAAACATGTCACTCATGAATCATCACGTCTGCCAGCTGATCCTTAGTGACTGGCCATGTGAGTTTAGTAACATCATGATGACTGATTGGATGCAGTACATTCACTAGGGATGCACCGATACCAATACTTCAAAAAAAAATTGAAGTTCAGGTTTGCATGAAGCTGGGTGACAGGACTACCAGTAAAACAGAAAAAAGTTGAGGTTTGCATGAAGCTGGATGACAGCATGCCCAGGAGACTACAGGCTGTCATTGAGGCTAAGGGTTGCCCGACTAAGTATTGATAGTTGTGTAAATACTGTCATACTAACAGCTGTCTAATTTTTGGTTTGATTGTAATCCATTACATATCTTTCTATCAAAGTTATCTAACATTATCAAGCTGAATTTGTTCTGACACAAGTTTAACTCTGAGTTCTTGTTATATTTTATTACCATTTTCTAAACTATAGCGAATAAACTGTGATAATGTGAGAAATGTTGAAGGTGTCTGAATAAATTTTGGTTTGACTGTATCTATTTGATAAATTAAGTTAACCAACTAACATTATACATACTCTTTTGGTTTCTGTACCCAATATTAAAAAAATTTACAAATGCAATAAAAATATTGGTATCGGTACTCGGTATCGGCAAGTACCAAAAATAAAAGTATCGGTATCAGGCGAGTACTGGAAAAAGTGGTATCGGTGCATCCCTAACATTCACACTTGGGTTTTGTTTGTTAACCAATTAGCCTATACAAGTTAGATGTTTGAAAACTGCCAAACTGACCCCATAGCAGCCCAAATCCTGTCCACCCGCTCAAACCAATTTTTACCCGCACAATCAAATTAAAAAATCTGGTAACACTGGTCAGACTATGGTTATAGTCCTTTGATTTTAAAATAATTTTTGTTCGCTTAGTACAGTGGCAACATATTCCAATATGGGGTTCCTTTTCAGGATGACCCTGAGCAGGAAGTCAGGGTAACAGCATGTTATGATCAATTGTGCTTGTGCTTTTGTAATGTTTATCATGTCTCCCCCCCCAAATATTATTATATAGGTTTAATTTGTTTCAGTTTTAGTTCAGTTTAAATTTTTATTTATTTCCAGTCAATAATTTTAGTTTTTCAACTTAACCTTATTTAGTTAGTTGCCCATGCAAATTTTTCAAATTCAAATTTTTGTTAAATTTAAGTTTTCTAATTTTTGTTTAGTTTTAGTACAAGTGTTACATCTAATATTTATATTTTATTTCAGCTTTATTTCAAATAACAAAAATATTAACCTTATGTTCAATGTCGTTTGGACCAGACTGACTTTCAAAACATCTCCTTTTGTTTCACAGGAGAAATGCACGAAAAACTTTTGAACGGAATGAGATATTTTCACTAAACTCAGAACACATATGAATGAGTTCAATCTTTCATCAAATTAAAAGAATTGGGAAGTTTGATCACTTGGTGGCACTATAAAAGGGAAAAAAAACATGAAAATGGCTGTAACAATGCAACCGACTTGAAATTTGGCCCACAGTGTCTTTATCCAAGGTGCCATCCATGTCTATGCGTATCTCGAAAAACATGGCCGCCATCGGCCAATTAATTTGAGCACCCATTAGACAAGGTCAACGGAGGCCGATCATGACGAAACCCGATGGGGCTGTTTGACTCATGGCCCTAGAGGTCTGTGAGAAATTTGAACGAAATCTGTGGCATTATCAGGTTTTACGCCTCGTATATCACAAAGTGTTTCACATGTACACACAATATTCATATCATATGTTAGATTTACTCATTCTGAACAACTTTGCCTCTAGAACCACTGCTGTCAATCAAACCATTCGTTAAATATTTGACATTATGTAAAAAAGCTACTTTCACCAAAACTGATACAGGCCATCTTCAGATGGTCCTAACAAAAAGTTATCAAAAGCTTTTTGATAAGACCCAACTGTTTTTGAATAACGCACAAATGAACTTGACAAAGAGCTCACCAAAGTGAACATGAGGCTATATCTCCTCAATGCTTTATCGTGTTCAGACCAAACTTGGAGTTTGTAATGACAACCA